GAGTAACTAAGTGGCTGTAACCCCTGACCTTTGTGATGTCTTTATCGTTGTAATATTTCTCATATCAGGCACAGCTGCTTTGATGTTGTTTTATCCTGCAGAATGGTCAGCCATCTTTGTTGGATTACACTAGTGACATTTATGGAGGAGGATTTATGGGTGTGAACGGACACTATCAGGGAGCTCAGTAACTTTAGAGTTGCATTTGATGAGAGCAAGAGAACAGTTATGTTTATGGAGGCACTTTTTTCTTTTATAGAATACATACAGCACTGAACACTCCAGGGAAAATCTGCAAATAGTATGTGTTTGGAGCTCATTACACAGAATTCCGACCACATACAACCTTTTTTTCCATTGTTGTCATGAGTTTTGAACAACAATAGCGACACTGCATCACTGGCAGCTGAGATATTAGGATTTAAAGTTCCCCGTTTCCACCCCAACTGTGTTTTGGAACAAAAGCACATTTTATGTTGAATACACAGATGACTCAAAGTGCCAAAAAATAATAGCTTGTCGGCACAAAAGGACTGTTGTGGTTCAATTTATTACAGTGTTTGCTTTTTGAAATTAAAGAATTAAGGGGGGTTTTCTCTAATAAACACCCCTGGGTGGGGCTCTAAATAATCACTGTCTCTCTATAAATCCATACATATTTGCAGATATTCATCCATGTGAATGTTGGAGTTGTTCTTGGAGACACGGAGCAGTAAAAGTGGCAGTGCAGCAGCTGTTTCCAGTTAAATCTCCCTGTGAGGAGTAGGAAGGTGTACATGCCAGAAAACAAAGCAGCTCCAGCAGACATCATTTACTTTTAATTGCTTGTGATATTTTCTTTGTACCTTTCCACTTAAACGATTCCCCAGTGGGAGGAAGCTGCTAAGCTGTCTGGATGGAAACGGGCAGTGAACTGGATTAATGCAATATTATTTATTTACACATGTAAATACAGCATGTATTTGTCCTCCTTTGCTCATGCATGCTGAGCTTTTTGGATGTGCAGCAGGGAATTAAGTGAAAGTGAAGGAAATGGAGCATAATGGACTGCAGACCGGCATCCCATTTATTTTGACAAAATAAACCCAGCTCTATAGACCATTGAACATGTTCTATTATTGATTTCATCTTTTGACCAGTTATCAATGGTTTTGATTTGACTGATAAACAGGATTATAGCATAATGAAGACATTTTGATAGAAGATAATTTGTCAGAATATTCAAAATATTGTAGGTTAGATGGTTTACAGCCTAAACCATTTAACCTACAGTAAGATGATCATATATAGACAGACATTCAGAGAATATACATACATAAGATTCTCAAATTTATTCTATTCAGATTCAAATCTCAAACCTTGGTTGCTAAACTTCATTTGGAGTTGTGTTTCTGGCCACCTGAAGTCCAATATTCACTGTCCTTTTAGCCTGGTTGTAATATCCAACTCCTGAGGGAAATATCTTTGTGTTTGTTTGGTGCTGGACAGATATTGTACAGTGGGTTTATTGCAGCCACTTGCAGCATCTGAAAACAGTGTCAATGAGAACGGTGAGAATGAACCAGAACAGAAGGTTCAGGCCTTAAAACCAAAATGATGAGCTGAAAGTCGCCAAAACGTGCTATCAAGCTGAGGGGACTGGCTGAGTTGGGGGAAAATTCCCTGTGGTTTTGTCACTACCAAGTTTCACTTGACACATCATTTGATTCTTTGTTAATATTAAAATATTGATTATTGCAAACATTTCTTTAACAAGAGTGAGAGAATGCAACCCTAAGAAGTTCTTGAAAAACAAATAACTCCTTCACAAATTACAATTCAGATTGCGTTTTATGTTATGTACGTACCATCTTTGTGCACCAAAACATCTTTAATTTAAGTGTTATTTAATCTAATGTCAAATCATAGTACAAACGATCTCTTCTGTCTTTACACTGCTTTCAAAGGATCTTGCATAGACTAATTGCCTTTGGTTTAGTGAAAAGCAGAACGCATGGATTTGGCTACCTTGTAAATCTTGGATTAAACTAAAGTGCAGCTTTTTGCTACATTTGATACATGTATATGTAGCCAACACACTTACGAAGATTTTGGCATTCTCATTGAATGGCATGTTTGTTGTGTGGTGCATCCTGGTGGCTATTTAAACATACTCAGAAAACGCTATTAAATTGAGCATATTGCTCACATGAAGGGATTGAAGTCGGAGCTGGAAAGACAGTGTTGTACACATATAGTACACAAACTTCTGCTGACAGAGAAGGGGCAGTGTTGGCCCGACAGTCTTTGGCCAGTCCGGTGTATCCTTGATGTTCTAGTGTCTGCCAGTAAACACAGAGAGCCACACATAGTGTCAGGCACCGAGTCAAACCGAGCGACTCAGGGCTCCGACCGCTGCAGTGGTGAGCCAGGCTGAGTAAATGAAAGAAGTAAATAAGGCGTTTGTGCCACGACGAGGCCAAGCTGAACTGGCTGACCCGTGGTTTTATTAAGGCAGTATGCGGATGGCAAGGGATGGACCATGATTAAGACCTCCAGAGGAGAAGTATCTGTAAATATACTTTCTCACATTCAGGGAACTGAATAGGTCTTGGCCCTATGTAGAAGCAGGATTTCTGTTCCTCTTGGATAACTTTTACATTATACATTCTGGCTTGTAATTCTCAGTATGGCCTCCTAGGGCTGACTTAAAAGTAACACAAAAGTGACATGAGCTTTTCTCATATCACGAATGCTTAAAGGGAAATTCCACTGATATCACTTGAGTCAGTGGCAGTTGGCTCTGAAGACTTGGTGGTGCCCCATGTACCAAGACTGAGCTGAACAAACTGAGAGGTCCTCATGTTAATTCTGTTTTGTATAACTTTGGTCTTATTTTCATTGTTTTGGCCATCATTTCTATTAGTTATGATAATAATAAGATGCTGGATTTAGCAGATGTTTAGCTTCTCTGCTTGAAAATGATCAAACAATTAATCAATTATCAGAATAGTCATAGATTCATTTTCAACTGAATGTTTTAGCTCTAAATTCAACACTGTTTTTTGGAGTTAAAAAGGAAAGAGAACCTAACCAGAATATCAGTAGCAGACCTTCATTGCACTTGGAAACAATGTGCACACGTGTGGTCAATCAAAGATGAAGCAAGTCAGATGGATGTTCGGGCTTATAATTTTACCATTGTCATTGTTTTTGCCAACAGATACGCTGGGCCTAAGGGTTTGTTTGAAACCTGTCTGATTGCTCGTGTTTTTTCCTTAGTCTTTTTTCATCATCATTCTGGACGCATTTCCAAATCTTAGCAATTAACTTGAAGAGTACAGTGATATTATAAATTATGGCCCAAACTGTGTAAACTGGAGTTATCCTTTAAAAGTAGACTAGTTATAGCTTCATCTGTTATTACTGATAAATAGTTCCTCGTCTAATTCTTATTTTCCTTCTCCCTGTAGGTTGAGTCACCAGTACAGGTGATCCATCAGGGCCGACGGGAGGTGTTAGAAGAAGCCTGCCGCTCCTACACCCGCAAACGCAGAGTCCTGATCCCGGAGGACCTGAAACATGTCATCGTGGACGACCAGCACGGCTTGCTGTACTGCTACGTTCCAAAAGTGGCCTGCACCAACTGGAAGCGGGTGCTCATGGTTCTGACAGGTGTCACCGGGTCCCTCCGAGACCCACTGGCGATCCCCGCCAATGAGGCCCATGTCCCAGGAAACCTCCGCACTCTGTCGGAGTACTCCACCTCCCAGATTAACCAGCGTCTGCGCTCCTACCTGAAGTTCGTGTTTGTACGCGAGCCCTTCGAGCGACTGGTGTCTGCGTACCGCAACAAATTCACACGGAGCTACAACACAGCTTTTCATAAACGATACGGCACAAAGATAGTGCGGCGTCACAGGCCGGACCCACAGCCAGAAGCTCTGGAGAGAGGAAACGATGTCTCCTTTGAGGAGTTTGTGTATTACCTGGTGGACCCCGCCACCCAGCGAGAAGAACCGTTTAACGAGCACTGGGAGCGGGTGCACTCGCTGTGCCACCCCTGCCTCATCCACTACGATGTGGTGGGTAAATACGAGACGCTGGAGCAGGACTCCCGCTACGTGCTACAGCTGGCCGGGGTGGAGGACCAGGTCAGCTTCCCCACCTCGTCCAAGAGCACCAGGACTACAGGAGACATGGCGGCCCAGTTCTTCCACAACATCAGCCCCTTCTACCAGAAGAAGCTGTACAACCTCTATCGAATGGACTTCCTGCTCTTCAACTACTCTATACCAGCCTACCTCAAATTTAGATGAGGCTGGGTTTTGACTTGAACTTGTGGAGCCTGGACTTCTTTGTAGGCTTTAAACAGACACTGCAAATACTGTTGAAACTGTATATTGATTAGGAGCCCCGCAGACAGAACATCAGGCTGAAGAACTTCTGTGGACAGGAGAGGACCTTTCATCTCAAGATGAAAGTTGTTGCCTAAAGAAGGCAGATGATATTTTACTGTAAACGGTGATCCAGTGGATGTCGGTAACTGCCTTTGAATGTGTGTAATGCCATTCAACTTTTGGTTTAATTTCGGTTGTTGTCTGCTGTTAAAAAAATGTAATTTGCACAACAAATGTAATCTCTACAAGGTGCAGTAGCATAATTAAAATATTAAAATCCTTTTTAGACAGTGAATGTCTCCAAACGTATGTGCCTTTGAACATGGGCCTTTTTTTCACTTCAGCAGACAATGACAACTTTTGTAACTGTGACTGTTTGTTTGTTGATGTAGGAAGAGATTTTTGTGTAACTATGATATTGTCTTAATTTATTGTGTTATTTTTGACTCTACAAAGTCAGACAAACCAAAATAGGTATATAGTTTCTCTCACAATTTTCAAATAAATGCATTTCAGCAAGAATTTGTTTGTTGGTGTGAATATTGGAGTTCTTAATGTTCAGAAGTTCTGAAGGCAACAATCCTGATTTACTGATATTCTCCAAAAGACAGCAATCATGACTCACATGTCAGTCTTTTATTTCAATGACAAATCATGGTTGCAAAGATGTCATCTACAAGTTTTTACAAATGTGAGCACTACAAAGTCCGATCAAGCTTGATGTCACTGTGAAAATAGGATTATTACCATCTTTGGATGCTATTTTCAGATCAGTAAAGACAATCTTTCTAAAAGTGCATATCAAACAATTGAAAAGGCCAAGTACAGAGAGATCCATACTGAATTATTTGTTCACAAAAATAGCACAAAGAAAATATCTGTACTGTCAATACCTGGAACACATACTAACGTAGAGACAGTTAAGTACAACAGGCTATATTCAGTGGCACTATGCTGCACAAAAAATGAATATCCTGTAGAAATTTGGCAACATCAAACTTAGAGGCCATAGGAACACATCAGAGAACTGAAGGCTTATCACGGTTTAAAGGCACACATCTACATAAAATAAACACAATAAAATCTAGCATTCATCCAGACAGTGCAGCATGTGATTTATGTGGAATACATTTACACTCAATTCTATATTATTATTGCCTTAATACAATCATTTGCCATCTAACATTTAAGAGCTGACAATAGGTATACAGATGTGTCAACAGGTAACAATACAGTGGTTCTACAATATTCCCACTTGTATCCCTTTTAGATGGATGTTGTTTGTACAGTGCCACGCTGGGTGGTGTTGGTATTGAGATGAGTGCAGCTCCAGGGAACAGTGTGCAACTACTGATCACAGTGAGCTGGCAAATATGGAGACCAAAGTGCAAAAGAAGTCCACACTTTCCTCACCCTATTCTTTCTATTTTGATCCTGCTTGTTTCTGCCTCTGTTTTTGCAACCACTTATTTATGTTGTTATATTTGAGCCTCAATCTTGAACACAAAAGGATATTCAGAGCACAGATTTTTTTGTGTGTAGGATATGGTGGCATCTGGCGGTGGGTCTGCAGATTCCAACCAACTAAAACCCCTTGACTCAACCAAGCGTGTAGGAGAACATATAGTATATGGATGGAAAATGCCCTATCTATAGCCAGTGCTTGGTTGGTCTGTTCTGGGCTACTGTAGAAACATTGTGGACTCCCACTCCCTCTGTAGATACATAAAAACATCTCGCAATTATTCTTATTTTCAGGTGATTATACACTAATGAAAATGTGAATTAGATATAAATACCAACATATTATATTACTATTATATATATTAAATACATATAATATAATATTAGATTATGTTATACTAGAATATTTTATTTAAAGATCTTCCCAAATGTTACACACTGGACCTTTAAATTATCATATTGGAGAAACTATTACCACACAAAAAAATACTGTGCTCAATAAATGTATGTGCATGTTTGCTATTACAGTATCTATGCAAGAACACAATAATAACCTCTGTCACTCCAGTCTACCCATTTCCTCTGTAATTGTCTGCCAGATTTAGCCTAAATAAGCTAGTTGACTAAGCATTTTAAAAGCGTGCTATGAGGTGATTAGTAGTAAGTCAGCTAGCTTTAGAAATACACACTAGTCAGGGTTTTAAACATGTTTTACAAGCACTTTTGCTGCAGAGTTAAAACACTGAAGGGTACTTTTTTAAAAGGAACCATGAATATAATGCTGCTATAATTTGATAATTTGCTTGCAAAAAATGTTTCTGTCCCATTGCACACACAGTACTGAGGCACAATTATAATGCCATATTTACCACCTGTGATCTTATCCTCACGTTCCTTCTTCAATCAAATGAACTTATAAATGAAATGAACAGTATGTTTCAGCCACTTGCATATAGAGAACAGTACATTTATGGTGTGCACGACCTGTCTGTGTCAAACTCCAGTGCCAGTAGAACTGACCATCAAAATCAGTCTGAAACTCAGAGCCAGGAAGCCAGTCCCCAACAGGTCACCCAGAGCTGTGAGGTAGGGGATGGAGAAGTTGTCTGGATCCAGTCCCCTTCGCCATAGCCATCGCACCATCAGGCTGGCCGCACAAAGCAAAATCACCACCTGGATAATGACAACAGGTGGATTCGTTTCAGAAGAGAATATCTCAGATTGACGTAAAGACTCAAAACTCATTTTAATTAAGTGTTGTAAGAATACACAAACTTGTATCGGTTGATCTGACCTGAAGTAGAGCTGCAGACAGGTAGCAGATGATAAACGTGGACGTCATAGCAGTATGGCCTCCCTGCAGGAGGTGGATGGTGTACAGGAAGAGGAGGTGACCAGGGACTACAAGGATGACCAGGACTCTGGCTGATTTGGAGTTCACATCTGGAGAAACACAGAATGAGTAGTAACAAGCTGTATGCACTTTTGCTGCATGCTGGATTCAGTTCAGGTGCTATGTGTATCTTAAACCAGTGGTATTATTAAATGAACAACACTTCACATAAACTTTCTGGTGCAAATCAGACTTCTTTCAAAAGAAACACACTTATTGGCTTTCTTACAGAGAGTAATTTCTGTGCAGTCTGCAGATAGCTGGAACCAGTAGCTCGTTAGCTTAGCTTAGCTTAGCTGAAAGACTGTGAAACAGCTAGCCTAGCTCTGTTTGAAGCTAACTGTTTCCCCCTGTTTCCAGTCTTTATGTTAAGCTAAGCTAAGTGTTTCTGGTCTCCTGAATGTAAGTTAATAACTCCCTCCTTTTAACTCTTGTTTGGTCTCCACTGACTCCTTAGGTGAAATACTGGATGTGGCTCTTAAGCTGTTCAATACTTCCTATATTATTCACTTTCTATCCACTAACTTTATCGGTCTGTCTGCCTTTGTCTGTCGTTTGGGGTTGGGCAGTTTACTGCTGGAAATATGACTATAAATAGATCACAAAACCAAAATAATTAGTAAAACAGACTCAGTTGGACTGCAGACAGTATTACCAGTGTTTTTCAATGGACAGTAGCTAAAGCCACTGCATATCACATGTGTAGTCATTTGATTCATTATTTAAGAAAATATTTGTTAATGATACTGTCTCATGTTTGACTTGGTAATTATTTCTTGATTTAGCACCTTTATGTATTTTCTTTCTGTATCTGACCTGAGGAGCAGAAGGTGGCACAGGGTCCAGGACAGTTGCCACTCATTTTAAATGGCAGAGCTCCAGGAACGCTCCAGTAGTGGAGGTAGGTGGACATCCTGCTGGCCTGGATGGCCACCAGATTTCCCCCTACACCTGCATGGATGTTGAAAAGTGTAGCGCTGATCAATTCCATAATAAACATTTAATAAAACTAGGAATCAGATGAGGAAAGTCCATTTCAAGATTGGACTGAACATAGCACAGTGGAAGGTAAGAAGGAGATAAATATGTTTTGGAACTTTTAAACTGTTTCTCATACCCAAATGAATTGTGTGTGCACAAGATACAATTAATTCCCATGTTTTAATTCTTTGTGCGCATGAGACAAGTGAGCCAGCACAACAGACCAGACCCATTCTAAATTCATTGACATGGACCTTTACTCTGCAGTGTTTATAACTAGCCCTAATATGCCTTCGGGCAGAAGGCTGATATAAGCTTGGATCTTTTTGGCACGTTGTCAGTAAATTGAGTGAGGTTTTTTGGGCAAAATGTGGGTTGATAGCCTGAATGTCATATTGACTCCTTATAACTAATCCTGTGATTTTAAAAAGTACATTCACCATTTCCTTATATTTAGGTTTACATTGCAATCCCTGTCACAGTTGCACATATAACAACCCACAACAAAAACATTCATTATTAGGGGCGGTGGGTTATTGCATGGTTGGTGTTTAACTGCAGCTAACACTTGTCAGGTCATCGTCATATTGTTTTACCTGAATGATTGCTATGAAGCACAACTGGATGCTTTGTCCAAGAAGAACGAATTGTATCTTGTGCCCATGAATTAATGGAAACGTGAGAACGAATTGTATCTTGTGCACCAGCAATAGCAGTGCTCGATGGCGTAAAATGTGGCCTTGATATAATGTTTGTTTTTTTCTCTCTGTGGCCACTCCAGGGCTCTGTATGTTTTAATATTTACCAGAAGTGAACCTCTCATAGCATATAGCACAAATTGAATCTCCATCAGCCATTGTTTATCCATTGTTCTCTTATCATCTGGCAGCCATATGACAGGCTGAGCAGTTACTGTACTGAATAATGAGTAAACATTCTTCACTAATTTTGCTTAAAATCTATTCCACAGTTATTACTGACTCACAGGGTCCCACGGGTCTTTTTTCTCTGAAAGCTGGGAAAAGGCAATCTGGATGTTGTTCCATATTCATTGTAACACTGCTGCTCTCCCCTCAGGCTGATTTCATTATAGCAGAACAAAACCTCTTGGCTTTCAGAGCTTTGAAGCACATGGATCATTGAAACAAAACAGGAAGGGGGTTTCTGGCAGTGGTGGAATGTAACTAAGTACATTTACTCAAGTACTGTACTTAAGTATACATTTTATGTACTTGTTTGTTCCATTTTATGCCACTTTATACTTCTACTCCACTACATCTCAGAGGGAGATATTGTACCTTTTACTCTTATCTGACAACTGTAAAAAAAAAAAAGATATATATATGATACGTTTATATGATATGATGCAGTACTATAATCTACCCGGTAGTACTAAAGTATATAAAGTAATAAATCTAAAATTCTGACTTTTAAAGAAGTATTTTACCACTGGAAAGGAGGTATTTTCATAAAACTCGACAAAGGTATTCCCTTTTGCTCAAATGGTAGAAATCCAACAACAACCAGAATGCACTGGGCCTCACCATTAAAAACTCTCTTCTGGTGAAATACTGAGTCCGCGGCAAAAAATGGCAACTTTGTCGCAAATGTTCTCATTTTCCCCCGAAACAGTACAGTGTAACAGTGGTCAACCTTAGGGCATGTAAGAAAACTTTACTATTTCTCAGCATTTGGTTCTGTGAAGAAAAGAAAATTGTTCAATGAATTATCTAATAGAACAATATCCAAGCACCAGGGACAAGAAAACACAATCCGTCACAAAAGAAGTGTGTATCATTGTTAAAAAGGATTAAAAAAATACAGATAACAGACAATTTTATAAAATTTCCCTCAACAGGAAATAATCTGCTCAAAGTTCTTCCAAATCACTTGTTGTCTTGCAGTTAATGACTTTTTCTGGCAAAGAAGTGGGGAGCACTGGGTCCAGGAAACATGCTTCTTTGCATATAGTTGTTCATTTGCATTTACTACATAAGTTTCCCTTTAAGTAACATTTTGAATTTGGGACTTTGTTAGACTACTTTTAGAGTATTTTTACTATGGTATTTTTATCTGTACTTAAGTAAAAGATCTGAACACATCTTCCACCACTGATTTCTGGTCACCAGGACAGGAGGGGAGAGTGCTGAATTGGAATGCAAATGCACTTCCTGTACTGGGATAGCGATACATGCCAGAGTCTTTGGTAGCACTGAGGCTGGCAGAGATGCTGCACAAATGGGAGCCAGTGAATGCATAGTTGGCATTCTGATCAGGCTTGTGGTTTATGTAAAGACCATTGTTATTCCTCTCTACTTAGTATGCTTTGTGGGAAACAAACTTCAGTCAGTGAAGATCTGGCCATATATGCCTCTCCGAGGTTCCTCTGACAGGGAGGAGACTGCTTAACTTCAGCAGCACTTTAATGCTCAATGATTGATTAAAAGCTTAAATTTGAGGCCCTTTTAAATGATAATGGGATTAGCTGCTGGGCGTCTGCATGCTCCAACAATTTCCACATTACATCAGTTGGCATGAGGCTTTATTGATTGATAATAATGAAGCTAATTATGAAGCTTAAATGCCATTCTTCAAAGATTAAGACTGTTGAAACAGCATAACCCCAAATCCCAGCTCTGCTCACTCCCTCAGGAAAACATGTCAGTGTTAATTTCTTTGCTCAGAGCATGTGGAAGAAATGTCACAAATTGTTTCAGCCTCAATTAAAGGGATTATATCTGCAACAAGATCTATTTTAGGCAATAATAATCAAAGTTATCATCCTAATTTCATCACTTAAGGCGTCTAGAATGAGGAGATCACAGTGTAAAAATATTTTGTTTCAAGTAAAAATCATGCATTCAAAATATTATTCATTAACAATGTGGAAGTACTATAAAAAATATACTTATAAATGGCCCTGTCAGTGTTATATTGTTATATATTATGAATTTCTTATTTTTGAGGCATTTACACACCGTTTATTTCATCATTCATTAACTATACACCAATTACCACCACCAAAGTTATAACTGTTGACAATTACATTTTATGAACATTATGTGTTATAAACCATTTATTTAAAGGGGCCACAGAACCCGTGGCCGCAAGGACCCTTGGTACATGAGGCGCCAGCTCTACCAGGTGAGCTATTCAGGTGCCCCATAAACCATTTATTATGTGTTTATATAGTGCTTTTTATGTACTGCTTATGAATTTTAAATAGGGAGTTAAAGTGTTACCAGTAAATCTGATGGATGAAATAATTTTTGCATAGAGTTTATCTTCCACTCACCATTGATGACTGGAGTAAACACTGCCATACCCTCATAGTTTGGATTGCTCACCGTCTTATCCAGAATCAGACCACCAATACTGGGAAGAGGACAACAAACAGTAGGTGAGTCTGAGTGGGACGACTGTGTAACTATATCTATTACATTCTCTAAATGAAATAGACATATACTTTAATATTTTAAAACACTTCAGAGCAAGAAATGTTATAAAGTTGTTGGACCGTCGATAGTGTCACAAGTCGACTCACCTGCTGATGGACATGGCCAAAATGACAGGTTGCCAGCCTGACTTTAGGACCTCTCTGATTGGTGGAGAGCGACGGGCAATAATGACCCATGCTGGGATAAGGAGCAGGAAGAAGCCACACACGGCAGGAGGCAGGTACCACATGTCTGGAGAGCAACATAACACAGGACACGTGTCAAAATCTTTGATAACACTCTTGAAATAGTATAGAAAATGGTGTTTCAGACTTTTAAGATGTCTTCAAGATTAACTGCTGCTGTCTGGAATCAAAGGTGGACTATGCTGCCCTCTTCTGGCTGAAATCCTCCTCAGTCGTCACCATAATACTGCTGCTATGTATGCAGTTGCATCAAGTTTTGTTCAACTTTTGCTCTTAACGTCGGTTTAGTATCAGTTAAACCATCTGAATTAGGCTTCAACCTCTTTGTCCATGCATGTCACTGGTGCAGACAAACAATGTACTTAAAGAGACTCATGAGGCTTTCTTGATGTAATATCATGTGTGACCTCTGACCTCTGTAACAGAAAAAGAAGCTGCTGACCCCAGCAAGCAGAGACACAGTGATGAGGTCTCCGAGGCTGGCGGCGATGGGCGTGGCCACATTATCCGGGTTGATGCCCACTTTCCTGGATCCAATAATCACTGCCACCATCACCAGACCTGACAAAGCACAAGATGTTCAACACACTGAGCTCATAAACTCTCCTGTCCTCTGCGTTGTACTGCATTCCTCTGCAGCAGTGTGTGCCTTTGGCTGACCTAGAGACAGTGCAGCGATGAATGCAGTGGTGACGCTGCTGGCGCACAGGACTGCAGCCTGGGTGACATCCACTCTTCCCCTGGTCAGACCCCCGAGACCCACAGCTGCAACCGCTGCCAGGAAGCCCACAACTGTGGCCTGGACCTGGGGATGAAGGACAGAGGGAATGGATGTGAGGCTTATATCTCATTATCTGTCCATCCACCCATCTCTTTACTCCTGTATCTCTCCGTCTGTTGCAGAGAGAAAAGAAAGCAAGTGGACCAAACATTTTGAAGAAGATTTAAAAGAGAGTAGAAGAGAAAATATATATATATATAAAATGATACAACGTGAATGGAGCCTCAGCCTTGTTAAGCTAAATAAATAAAAGTTGGTTGATTCAGAATGGCACTGACAGCATTGAAAGCATTATTACTTTAACTAACAGAAGCTAACTGGCTAATTCTGGTAGCAGTTATTGAGCTTGCTAGAGTGAGACATGACATAGTCATGAAAAGTGACATTATGAAACAATAAGGGACATGGAATAAAAGTATTATTAAAATGTAAAATGCCAAAAAAATAAAATAAAAACAGTCCTTTTAAAACACATTTCATTTTAAAATTCCCTTTGTTGTTCGTTGTTGAATGAATGATAAAATAACATTTCATAATGAAAAATAAAGAATCTTAACAAGATAGCAGTAACATACTGTACCTGATCTAATCTCACCTCTTTTTCGATTTCAAAATTAAAACTATTTATGCCATCTACCATCTGCTATGGTTTTAGACTAAGAGGTACTACTGATTTGAAAACTCCCAGGATATTGGTGAAATGCCTTAAAAGTAAACACAAAATATATGTAGTTACCTAATAAAAATAATGTTTCTGCAAGCAATGGAAGAACCAGCCCTGTCTTTTGATTTCATGCTCTAATATCTTATCATAACTACCGTTTGGAACCATCTCTAACCGTTATCTTGTGTGTGTAATTGGCTGAGAAGCATTAGTGAAGTCTTTTGAATGGGAGGACAATGTTATCACACCAGCAAAGCTTCTTGAGTTAAACTGAATTGCCTTGAAGCCGGGGGAGATGGACTAAAGTGATGGAGTGTTATTAATGGAGAGTGTGCGGTGGAGCGGTGTGTCACCTGAATGAGAGCCAGATTACAGAACACCATCCTCCACTGCTGCTGGGCCTCATCCATCTGCCCCATGTTGGCCTGTGGACGGAAATGGGTTGACGTCATCACATTGCTCAATCACGTGGTACTGGGAATGAGTTGTTGAGTGTCACGGTGGAAATGTAATTCCTAGTAGTTCTCAACAGTATGTCAAATTACCCTGACAAATGTTCTGATTTGTCCACAGTGTGCGTAGCTAATGAGTAATTATCACTCCGACTGCAGTCAGGAGATTGCCTGCAGAGTGGAAGTCATATGATTTGATAATGAATTCTTATCCATGGATGCTGACGTTATAGCACTTGATTCCCAAAGCATATAGTTCCCCTCCTTTTGTGTGGAACAGTTTGCTGAGAGACTGAATATAGCCTCACGTTTTCTCAATAATCAATAAGTGTTTCCTTCTTGTTCCTACAGTGTGCTGTTTGAATGATGTCTGTACAGAGAAGGATGTTTTCACATTCATCTGCTGAAAGTGAAAAGTTTCTCTGTGCTCACTGAAAAGCAGATTTTAAGGGGCAGGGCCTACAATCATGATTTGTGACATTACAAATAGTCAGTGTGCAACTTGTACAGTGTGATGTAGAAACTTGAAGCCACCAGTGCACATCCACTGTGAATGGACTTTACAGTGAAGTAGGAGACATCTTGTGTCCAGCAGGGAAACTTTAGAAACAAACAACATTTGCATATTCAGAGATTCTGGGATTTCTGGAGGGGATGTTTAAGGACGAGACACAAACTCTACTTACAGTATGTACACAATTACCCAACTGGGCTAGGAAGTTGGTGCCATACTATAAGTTTAAAATGTATTCAATATTAAGTGAGAGTTTTACAGTTGTATACATTGAAAATAATTGTCAGCATGTCTTCCTGCTGTGTGTGTGTGTGTGTGTGTGTATGTGTGTGTGTGTGTGTGTGTGTGTGTGTGTGTGTGTGTGTGTGTGTGTGTGTGTGTGTGTGTGTGTGTGTGTGTGTGTGTGTGTGTGTGTGTGTGTGAGAGAGAGAGAGAGAGAGAGAGTTTCCACTCACTGCTGTTGACAGTCTGGATGCCAATGTCATTTCCAGATTCCCCTTCAGCCCCACCAGGGCTGGCACCAAGATAAACACCTCAGAGATCTCCTTAAACACCTCCCAGTGCTGAAAAACACCACAATGCTCTTTTAACCTTCCTTGAACCTTCTGCTCCCAATGAGCTGTTCAAATACACAATGAAATTACGCTGCAAAAAACACTTTTCAACAACATTCAGCTTATGGTTGTTCTTCTTGTTTAAAGCTGCAATAATGTGTTTTTGGCCACTTGGGGCCAGCAGAGGTTCCGAACACAACATTGACATATTAGGCATTTGCTTATTTACACACCCTGGCGGTTAGGGAGCAACATTATCATTCATTTGAAGTTGTGTCTCTGGCCACCAACGCAAGTCCAATATTCACTCTATCATAGCTCTGTTTTTGGTCTCCACCAAAAAGGGAAATACCTGGCTCATTAGCTGCTAAATGCTCCATGATATTCACCAGCCAGTCTCTAACTGTGTCTGTCTGCTGCTTGGTGCTGAGCAGGTAGTGTACAGTGGGTTTTTAGTGCTCTTTCTCAAAAGACAGCTGCCTGCTGCGGCTGAAAACAACACTATGAGATTGATGAGAGTGAGCTGCAGCGAGACAGCTAAACAATGAGCTGAAAGTCACTTTAAAGCTCCATAAAGGAGAGCGGAGCTGCAGATTCAGCTGCTAATTCTCTGTAGGTTCATTACTATGACACTTCCACTGTTTCACATTGTCATTTGATACATTGTTATAAAAATATAAATTAAAGCTGCCTTAAAGAAATTGAAAGAACCTGCCAGTCACTGTCAGTGTTTCTTATTTTCAGTGCACTGAAAATGTCCATTTCAATGTTGAAATACGCCACAATGAGACTTCAGAACATTTGCTGATAGAAATAGACCTTCTTAAAACCTATTTGCTCAATCAGCTTTTAACTACTACTATATTGTATATAAATATATATAAATGTATAACAAGCTCCAGATGACTAACCATGTCTCTTACCCCCTCTCACAGGCAGCAGAGAATTTAGACAGTCAGAATGATCTGACCGGTGAGTGCTCAGTGATTTGATAAGTGTCTGTATTTTCATGTATCTGTGTATCTCACGAAACCTGATCCGTCAGCTTTTTATGCTTCGACTAGCGGCTGGCCGACGTGCTGCATAATTCAAGGTGTCAGTCATGTGCCGCTGGTGAGTTATTTACAAGAGGTTAAACAGGGACAGAGCTATTAGGTGGCTCTCTTCTATCTAACCTGTGTTATGACCGATCAGTCATGTTCTGTGAATATGAAAAGGCCAGATATGATCAGACAGCTATTATAGCTTTTAGCCAAAAGTTGCTTGAAATATGGCTTGATTATTTTGCATTTCTCAAGGGCTTTTTGTACTGTTTGCAATGATCTTCCATAACTATTGGATCACAGATTTGTTGCCTAAGCATCCCATTCATCGTCCGTCTGTCTCTGTCTGTCCTCCAGCAACTCACTACTACTGTAGCTCAAGGCTACAAGAACCACTGAACCCTACAGAAAACAGTGGTGATCATGTAAAGTCATAAAACATGGCCAAGCTTCACTTGTCACATTTCTAGAAGAATCAAATATACCAGCCTAGCATTCCTAACAAGCTGATATCTGTATGTAATTTCACATGCACATTTTTTTCCCATACTTGCACTATATCCATGACTATCCCAGCTGCCACCATGCCCAGGCCCGACACCAGGTACGGCAGCAGGACCTGGAGTGCGATGATCCACGAGCTCTCTGGCAGAAAGCCGTGGGCCGAGCGGGTCAATTTGCATGAGAAGCCCCTCAGCTTCTTGCCCTGGAAACGCAGCTCCAGAGCCAGATGGGTCACCACCATGGCTGATCCCTGTTAACCCATCCCTGCCTGGAAACTGTTGGTATGGTAGGGAGGGGTGGCTCGTCCGCACCACAAAAATCAGCCTCCGAGCTTTTTTGTTCAGTCAGTCAGGCAGATTTGAGAATGATCCGTTTCAGAGAGAAGATTTCTTGTCTTCACCTCACCTGTGACTCTTTCAAAAGTCACAGGAGATGGGATTTATTTCTGAAAAGGGTTTTCCTTGGAGTAGTTTAGCAAAAAACAGCAACAAAGAGGGATTCAACGAGCTTGTTTTGCCCTTCACCTGTCACTCCAGTGCTGGTAGGGCAGCAACACAAAGTACTTTTGCAAATGGTGGACTAGGTGGAGGAAGCTGCTTTCATCCACTTGAATGGAGCACACACATACATGTATTCATTCACACACACACACACACACACACACACACACACACACACACACACACACACACACACACACACACACACAGGTCCACTTGACAGCAGGTCTGTGAGGCCTCTTATGACACTCTGCTACTGACAGACCTCCACACACACAACACACACACACACACACACACACACACACACACACACACTCATTACAGCCATGCACACACACTCCCTCTCCTCATGCCTCACTCTTCAGCAGCCGGGCGGCCGATGCAGAGCGCTGGAAGCCCGGTCTCTCGCGGGGCCTGAAGAAGGTCCAGGTCCTGTAGGACAAGGACATCCAGAAGGCCAGCAGTTTCTTCTCAGCCCTCCTGTGCTGCCACTCCTTCTCCTCCTTCTCCCTCCACACCTCCTTCTCTTTCTCCTCGCCGCTGTGCTGATGCCCTGTGTGAGATTGACTACTCTGGAGCCCCTTCCTCATTTTGATCAGGGGAACGCCGGGATGTCCGTCCAGGCTGCGAGCTGTGTGAGGGGACACTGATGGACGGTGTGATGTCGGACGCTTGTCTGTGTCCGTGCTGCTGCCAGGGCTTCCCTCTGATTCCAGACGGATAGATGAGTCGTGACAGAGCTCTGTGGTGGAGGGAGGGACAAGACGGAGGACAGTGTGTGTGCGGTTGTGTGTGTGTGTGTGTGTGAGGGTGGGGGGGTGATGCTGCAGACGTCTGAGTATAAACAAGGTGACCCGACTGTTATCAGTACTCTTCTCTCTTCAGTTTTCCTCTTTTCCTCCTGGTCTCTTTTTAAGCCAGTTCAGAGGATACTGCAGATGAGCTCTCCCCCTCTTTAATAGCTCCTCCTTTCCCTGCTCTTCGATGTCCTCACTAGAAGTGGGTGACGCACTCGGAGCAGCAGCAGGTGCTGTACCTGTCACTAACACGTGGTGCTGCTGCTGCCTGGAAAGGACACAGTTTATCCTCTTTGATTGGTAGAAACACACAGGCTGCCACTAACTGTCACCCCCTGGACTTTTTCAGTCTGTTCAGTTGGTTACGTCACTCTTTTGTCTCTTCTTGTCTTTCTCATGTCATTTGCTATTCCATAAATATCTGGCACAGAGATTAGAATCAGTAGCCTTTATGTACACCTGAGCTGCTAGTTAGGTGTTTGTGGCCTCTCCTTATTCCTATGTTCACTCTATATAAAGTAACACATGGGGGAACATACGCCTGTACAGAATACTTAAGACCATTTCACACACGCACACACACGCAAGGGCAGTGACTCAGCTGAAAAGTGTCCTTGAGACATGGGTGCTCTACTCTCTGCAGCTCCCCCTTCTGACTTTTGGTTGGAATTTGAAGTGTGAAGCAACAGCTGCAAAAGATTTATGGTGTTTGGACACACACACATTAAGGAGATAAATCACTCGAGTGGAAACAGAGGAATTCCTCCTCTTGAAAATCGACCTTTTGTCATATTTTTTGGCGAAAAAAAGAAGCTAGAAAGACAGGGGGAGGCATGTATCAGTGTTTCCAGGCAGGATCTGAACTCATCACTGTCAAACATTATAGTGAGGCTAACAGAGCTTTTTCCAATTCCTGAACCTGTCATTGCTTTTCTTACAATGCCTGTATTGGTATCTGTCCAAATACGGTAGCAGCTGCAGCTTCTGTTAACAAGTGTCTCTGTCAGTGATGATTCACTGCAGCTCTCCTGTGAGTAAGTGCTGAATTACACATCACAAAAAGAAAATGGGAAAAGTCTTTTGATTCAAGTTCCTTTCCTTTGGTCTTAATCTGTGCCACATTTTCCATCGGACATTATGGAAAAAAGTGTGTAAAATATATGATTGAAAGTATATTTTTTGCTGTATATTTTGGAAATTATTGAAATTTTACTCATTATTATAAAATAGAACATTTCATTTTAAAATGCCCTTTTACAGAAATACGAACTGTTTTTATTTCATTATGGAGTTTTTCCCAATTCCATGCCACTCTTTTCATTTATCATAAATTGGTTTGATAGTCATTTCTCCTGATCTCTTAAAGGTTAAACTCCCTCCCCTCACTTTCACACCTTCTAAATGCAATGTTGAAACTACGGTGGCCGCACCAGTGTTTGGTTTGTCCGTTCTGGGCTTCTGTAGCGGTTCAACATGGTGGCCTCCATGAAGGAAACCTGTCTGTAGATAAATAAAAAGCTCATTCTAAGGCAAATACACAGTTATTATTTTCAGGTGATTACACAGTGATGAAAAAACACTTATTAATATTATATAACGTTTTTATATCACCTACATTTTACACACTGGACCTTCAAGCTATCTAGTTTATGGATTTAGCTAAACAGGGCTGCACATGCTACCTAAAAGTAAAATGTCTGAATATTACTGGGCAGATATAACTATTTCATAAATAATATTAACATTAGCAAGGTGTGGTAGAGAGTGGATCCACAAACTAACGTTAAGCTGTTAGGTATTAGTCATTTCAATTTATTATAATACACATAGATGTGAAAGCCTGCATTTCTCAAAGCTAATGCACAAAGATAAGAATGTTAAATGGACCTGTACTTGTATAGCACCTTTCTAGTCTTCCGACCACTCAAAGCGCTTTTACACTACGTGCCACATTTCATACACATTCACTCAGTGATGTCCATTGAACAGAAAATAACTCATTCATACATCGATGCTGTGCATCGGAAGCAATTTGGGGTTCAGTATCTTGCTCAAGGATACTTCAACACGTGGCAGGAGGAGCCGGGGATCGAACCAACAACCTTCCAATTAGGGGACAACCCACTCTGCCTCTGAGCCATAGCCGCCCCAAGCACAGAGACACAGTCTCATCTAGCTGTAAACACCTGGCCGGGGGAGGTAGAGTGGTTATCTCCAAGGTTGAAGGCCCCCAGATCTGACCGTGGCTCTAGTTTCATAAATAATATTTAGTTATTAGGGAGAGCAGGGTGGAATAATTGATTTTCTTTTAGGGCGCTGTCTCTCGGAATTGGTTGGGTCGTGTGCCAAGAGGCTGGGACCAGCCGGTGCACCAACAAGGAAGCACCAAGTCTAAACCACGGTTGCGTCCCATCACATAGTCCACCAATCACATTGCTTAATGTGAAACTGATATAACCTCTTGTAACCTTTGATCGCTACTCTTTTTGGGGCGAGAAAAGACAGAGTAACAGCACTCCGCTGACTGTGGCTTCTCAATCCAACAAGATCCTTGTACAAGTATTATTTTAATTATACAATTCTAAATAAACTTCTAAACTGAGAGAAGTTGTTTGTCTTATGTCCTAAAGATCATTTTGATACAACCCTAAGCATTAGGAAGCTAATGTGCTGCTAAAGATTAACTTGTTGTTATTTTGTCTGTGAAGTAACCATAATATTACTTTTTTTGTCCTGAGCAGGAAGGAGTTAAGAAATACTGGAAAATATGTTTGTCATTTCTATAGCTGAAGTTTCTTAGGCAGAATGAGTTCAGGCACACATAATTCAGTCAAATAAAACACAGACACTGACAGTCCCCTTTCCCTGTGTGTGTGTGTGTGTGTGTGTGTGTGTGTGTGTGTGTGTGTGTGTGTGTGTGTGTGTGTGTGTGTGTGTGTGAGAGAGAGAGACCGGTGTGCTGGAGTCAGAGAGCCACTCCAGCTGCACCTCATCGATAATCAAGACCTCAACAAACTCTGCCAGATCCACGTCTCTGCATCACATCAGTCTGCACTGAAAGCCATTTTTTTCATGTTACAGGGTCCCCTGTTTCCTTCCTGGTCTGGTTCCAGCCCCTGTTTCCATCCCCCCGTCTCATCTTGTCAGTCCTACTTCCCTGCCATGGATCCACACTCTTCCCAGCTTCCAGCCCAAGCTTCCCCAGGTCTTGCGTTCCCTTTCCCTCGCCTTCAAATTAAATACTTGCCCTGACACTAATACAATAGATGTTTATGTTTTCAGGTTTATTCCAGAGGATATTTGTTTTTCATGGTTTTATAGGGCTAAAATAAGCTAAATGTTAGCTTCACCAACATAATCTGTACCAAGGATGTGCTCAATGCCAGGCTAAAGTTGCCTAGGCAACAGCCCTAGCTGAGCTGCCTCCCTGGAAAATAAATTACGAGTAGTCTATAATTACTAAAGTTAGACCAAAGTAAATTGCCATATCAACTGTTATTACTGTTTAATATGATGATAATGATAAAATGATGCCCTATGCCCCGTCATGTGACAACGTAGCATCCATACTTGGTATTGTTTCCGTTGTGTGAGGACTCTTTTGAAGTTGGGGAAATAATTAACAATGAACATTTGAATCAATGGGATGCCCTGTGAAAAAAGTCTCCACATATTTTTCTGAACAAAGAGCAGCTTGTCATGTTTGCGTTCCCTTTTTTGTGTGTTTAAACCCCCAACCACTAAATAGCAGAGTTGTAAATGTAAACCGAGGGTTATGATGTTGGATGTTACTGTGATTAATACAAATTCAGTTCAGTATCGCGATATATTGAATTGTAACCTATGTAATGTAATACGTATCATATCGCCAGATTCTTGCCAATACACAGCCCTAATCCCTGACCTGCACTTTACATATCATTGACCAGGTTGTATCTTTTAGGTAAAGATGGGTTAAGATAAATATTTAGCTATTTCTGTTTACCAGATATAAAACATTACATTAACACCACTAGGTCTTGAGCAGAGAAATTTGACTTTTGAATTCTAGTAGAAATACAGTAAAAAAAATAAGTGCTGCAACCCATGTATGGGGACCTTTCTCTGCCCTTCCCATTGGCTTAACTAACTGTTAGCTGGCTAAATGTGGTAGCAGTTTAGCAAAGAAATAATATTTTATAATATAAATTCATAATGTATTTTTTCTTTATTCCATATTGACCACAGAGGTTTCACATAAATAGAGTTTAATATAAAATTTAGAACCTGTTTATATTATACAACTACACACTATGCTATGTGACCTATTTCTATATTTGCCATGTGGCCTTGTTTCCCACTTCATAGGTGCATACTACAAAATGAACTTGTAAAATCACGTGTAGTTGTACCTTATTGCCAAGACCTGTTAATTTGTTCCCATGGAGCAAGGTCACTTTATAGACCCATCATGTCACTGTGACCTCAAAACCCACAGCACCATCAGCTCACAGCTCAGTCTGTTCCCCTCAGAGACACATGGACAGACATCAAGAGTCAGAGAGAGGAAGACATGGATGGACATATAAGGTTACCTTGTCGGACTTAGGCCGTCTTACTTCCAGCTGGAGTAATTATCTGGTCATATTCCTGTTATTACTAGCTCTTTGGATAAGGTAAACTTTGGAAATGATCTAGACTCTTACTCAGTCACTCAGTTACTATAATAATGTTAATATAACAATTCAATCAAATATCAATGTTAATGTTTTTGAATGTCATTTTTGGTGCAGATACTGTCTACATAAATCTAATAAGCAATTTTAACTTTAAAAATTGTTGAAACTGATTACATTGAAAATTTTAATTAAGTTTGTAAGTTAAAAAGAAATTTAAATTACTGGTTAAAGCTGCTTAATCAAGAATCTTTTTTTACTTACACAACTGATGTAATCTGTTTCAGCATTTGTTTTAGTTAAATTAACTTAATATTGTTTTACAGTGTATAATCTGTACTGCTGTCTGTCATAGAGCTGTGCAATTCCACTGTGACTGACCTGAACCTGGTCCAGCAGCATGCCGGCTGTCAGCATGCCCAGCCCGGCCAGCAGGTATGAAGGCAGCACCTGGAGGCAGATCACCCTGGATGACTCTCTGGAGGAAATGTGGAGCTTCTCCTCCTCCATCAGGACAACTACTACTGCTGACATTCATGTGTGGTCTGCACAGCTGCCAACTTTCTGTGCTCATTCAAACCAAGCTGCTGCCAAAGAGCCCAAAACTGTTTGTCTTTCAGTCTGTCAACCTGCCCTGCCCTATATCGGCCTGACACTTCAGGACAATATTACATCAGAATTAAAATCAAATAAATGATTATTTAACCATGTTTACTACATTTAGAATGTTTTAACACTGATCTCTTTTTCAAGGTCAGTTGGATTGTTTTCAGATTCCATATTACTCAATATTATGTAAGATGTCTATTGACTATAAACACACCTCCTATTAAGTCAAACAATCACAGGGCCTATCAGAATTTCATTGAGGCTTCAATGAGGTCACTTTCCACTTTCAACAATGTGGCCGCAGCGTCGTTGTTCTTTTGACTTTATAATCAATTTAAATATTCCTGTGGTTAAAGGAAAATGACTGAGTGCTCTTAATACTCAAAAGATGTACCAGGTGCTCCTGTAGGTCCTTTTTAAATATATATATGATAAAATAAATTAATAATTATAATTAAAATTGGCCATTACAATAAAGGCTTTTTAATATATTCCTTCCTTGTTGCTATTTTTTGGAGTGCCTGGATTTCCTTTTTGTTTATTCCTTTGGGTACATGAATAATGGCTTTTTGTGAACCAGTAGATGGCACAAATCAGCACTTTTACTCTGAAATACTAAATATGAATAGGAGGTCAAAAGACTTGTACCACCAAAATACTGCATATTTATACTGTTTTAAAAAAACAGCTATTAAGAAATTTAACATTTTTCTATCAATGGTTTGATGTATGGGCATTTATGCATGTAAATGCTACACAGAAAAGGTTTGTCTTAATCATGAATAAATCATTTGCAAGATTCTAACAAGCACAGGTTTCATGTCAGTAACTATAGAGAAGCCAGAAAGGCATCTCCAGAGAACAGAAACACAGCCCACCTCTATCTGCTATAAATATTCACTCTGCACCTCCCATCCCCAGTTTAGGTCTCATGTTATATGTCAAGGGTGGGAGCCATAGATTACAGTTCTCCGGAGCTGGTTGTCGTGCAGTCACTGATGGCTTCGTTGGCTGGTTGTGTTGTTTATTAAGTCTTCTTACGGGATCATCTGCTGTGGGTGGCTTGCAATAGCTTCATTATTTTTTTTGCTCAAGATGTTGTGTTTGGTTTCTTGTGGAGCGTTACTGGCATCTGCTGGCAGAGGCAGGCTCTTATCTGTCATCTGGTGGCAGTTGGGTTCACGGCAACTTTGCTTGCAGCCAGTGAACACAAGGTCAGTGCAAGAGACCAGTTCAGCAACAGAACACAACACGTCTCTGCAGTAAAGGTTTGGTCCTTCTTGAACATGTTTTGCATGCAGCAACATTTGCATTGCTCTAGATTGTAAGCATTTGACTGATTTTTTTACATTGATCTTGTCAAATAATTGCAGTTTTGTCTAGAAATCTGGTGATTGTAACAGGATAGCATGTAAAGTTTGAAAAACGAAATAATTAGGTCATGCATTGGTTGGTTTGTTTCTCAAGGTGTGTTTATTGTGACAAACATGGCGAACAAGGAGAAGAGCGGGCCCCGGCCTCAGTTTATCAGTGGCTCCAGTAGTGTATCCACCACCATCCGTCTTCGGGACCTTTATGATCCCAAGCCTCAACCTCCCAAAGCCCCAGTCCGGATCCGCCCTCCGGGTCCGAGAGCTCCATCAGCAAAGGAACTCAATTTAAAGCACAGCTCTCCCAGTGATCCTCCAACCAAGACGATCATGAGGAGACGAGCTCAGTCTCTACCTTCATCAGCAGAGAGGAAAAAGGAGCTCAGGAGCCTGCAGGTACGCTTTGTGGACTCACTGGGCCTCGAGTTAGAGGAAGTTAAAGTCTTCAAAGTTCAAGAGCGCCCCCTGATACCCCAACATGTTATGTTCAGACTACTGATGAGCTCTGAACTGGCTTTCGGGAAATCATTGGAGCTGTCCCTGCCTTACTTCAAACCTTGTTTCCCTGAGAATATGGGAGCTCAGCCAGACTTCCTGAAGCGTCTCTACACTCAGAGCGTGTGTCTGCAGCAGGTCCTGTGTTCAGAGCAGGGGATAACAGGCACTATACAAGTACTAAACTTAGCTTATGAGAAAGAGGTCACAGTGCACTACTCTTTCACCAACTGGAGAACACTCACAGAAACAACAGCATCCTGGGTATCAAGTGGGTACCGTGGGGAGTGCGATGCTCCAGAGACAGATATCTTCAGATTTCGTCTGCCTGTGCCGCCCTTCATTTTGCTGCCAGGAGCCATTTTAGAATTTGCCATCTGCTACTGCGTAAAAGGATCTAATTATTGGGACAACAACAATGGACACAATTACAAACTGTCATGCCACAGCTACAAGGTGACTGTGCCGAGGGAGTGTGAGGACAGCATGCTGCATTTCACCTGAGTGTCCACACAGGGGAGCTGGAACACCTGCACACAGATATGGGTGACAGGCAAAAAAGTACCACCTAAACTACCCATAATTCCCTTTGCTTATTATATTCAGCAGTGGAATGTAACTAAATACATTTACTCAAGTACTTGCTAGTACAGTTTTGAGGTACTTCAGCAACTGCCACTTTGTAAATATTGTACTTTTTATTCCACTAGATTTATCTGACAGCTGCAGCTATCTTTCAGAATTAAAGTTTACACGCAAAATAAACGATCAGTTGGAAACTTTGTAGAATCATCCCAACAATGTATAAAGTAGTTAAAATGAACTCCGCCGCAACCAGCCACAACATTAGAATGCTGCTTGTATGTTAATGTACATTATCTGATACTAATACTTTATTTACTGCACTTTTACTTAAGTAATATTTTGGATGCAGGAGTTTTAATGAAGTATTACAATATTGTTATTTTTACTTAAATAAAGGATCTCAACACTCGCTCCACCTCAGATAAGAAGATGTTCTAACCAGGGAGAACTCAAATTTAACACTAGAGAAATACTAAAATGGTCAAAGGAGGTCAAGACTTTAGTTTAAAAAGGTAAAATCATTTAGTGAATACTGCTTCCTTGAGTGATCTGACAGATAATCTGAGAATAAATCAGGTACCTCTGGCTCCTCCTAGTGCTCCTAATGACATTTGCAAGAATCCAACGGGCCTGAACAAAAACAACCAATCAGAGCTGAGAAAGATAGTTGATTGTTGGGTCTCATTCTCAGGTGATCAAATGCCAACACCACCTCATGTGCTACTGTCAGCATATAAAGTTTCAGCAAATATTACCAAAAAAAACCCATTTTTCTAAAGGTTACCTACTGTAGCAGCCATCAGTTTAGTATGGCTTAAGCTCCAAAAACGCAGGATCCTACATTTCCCATAATGCAACTTAATAGCACACCACTACCCACACTTCCAGCTTAACACAATGGCTTTCTGTTGAAAATTGGAAGTCTCAAGCCGGAGTCAAGACAACCCAGATGACATCCCCTCAGTACGAGTAAGCTAAACTTCATATGTAAAACGGGTGCAGTGGCCCTTTAAAATATTCCAGTCTGAGTCATGGAAGGATTCCTGTGTTCCTGCTGGGCTTTTATTTAGATTAAATCCCGGCCACCTCTGTACAGATCTACAAAAGAATTTGCCCACTCTGCACGTCAGCAAAGTCTGGTGACCCAATTTAATGACCGACAGTCTGAGTTATTGTTGTATCTTAACACAGAATTTGCACAAGGTGACAAATCCATATTCTCTGCTGATTTCACACAGAATGAGAGCACTTAATGAGCTGCTGGCAACCCGAGCAGCGTGTTTGCTGTTACTCTGCACTTTCTGTCACGATCAAGGGGGCTTGACCTCACTCTTCTGGAGCTTGTTTTGTTTTTAGAGGAGGATTACCGGGAGCAGTGCGAGCTCCTCTGTTGCACTATGATCCCTTGGTTATCCCCGACGGCACTGACCTTTCACCAAAAAGTTTCCACTGATATGAGAGGCCAGATTCCACAGAACTTCCTGGCAGGCTGCAACGTTTGACTCATAGGCGGGCGTTCTTCCATCTGCATTAGTCACTGCAGCTGTATGGCAAGCTTTAAACATGATAGCAGATATCTGAACATGAAACACATTACGGAGCATGTCAAGCCCTTATCCATAATCAATCAATGAGAGAAAAATAAAATGTTGTTTATTAAAGACACAAGTCTGTCATCCAAATGTGAACAAAAAGTTAGCCCTACCACTAAAAATAGAAACAACTGTTATGACCCTTAAACTGACTGACAGGACTTTAAATCTAACTAAACTCAATTTTTTTGAATGATCTGTTACACAAGCTCATACAGTATTATCAGTTATGATCTCTTGAGAAACAAAAAACAATAGATTAAAAGTAGATTAAAGTAAATCTCTTCCTCCTTATATTAAGTATGAATGTGCCTGTAATTTCAGTTTTGGGTTAAATTACAGTTTGGGGGTTTCCTGTGATTGTTTAAAACTGTACATGCACATGAGTGATTGAACTGCAACTCTGCAACAACACGAAACACTAAACCCCTCTCTCCAGGCACGTTGATAAGTTTGTGTGTAATTTGAAGCAGTCAGACGTTGCAGTTGACAGACACTAGATGGCATCATTGCTCAAATCTAAGACCCTACAAAGTAAAGCAATGTTGGATTTTTGTCTCCAGTGGTGGAAGAAGTATTCAGAACTTACACTCAAGTGAAAGTAGCCACACAACAATGTAAAAATACCCTATTACAAGCAGGGCCGGATCTAGAGGAAAAATGCCTGGTTATGGCCATTTTTTAGACTAATTTCAATGAAAAAAGACTTTGACTTTGACTAAAAATAAAACAATTTACTGATTTCTAATGCCACCTTTAGGTATTTCTATTTGATCCTTTACTAATGTGCCACAATCATGTAATGTTTTTGGGTTCAAATATCTTTATTTAGGGGCTTTTCCATGCAAATATTGATTAATGTGATTGTTTGCGATTAAATCAGCATTTATTTCTGCCCCCTTGAAGTCTCCATGCCCCAACGCCATGAATACTTCTCCAGATCTGCCCCTGATTACAAGTAACAATGTTGCATTCAACACAATAGCCTGTCAGAGATATGAAGATCATCAGATTATTATTACTGATGTTGAGGTAGAGCTAAGTTTCTGTTGGGCAGTTTAATCTGTAACAATGCATATTTTGTAAAATGATAACTAAATAAAATCTTAACCTGCAAAGTACCATAATAATAGGTGTCAAATAAAAGTTGGAAGTATCCTAAATGCAAACACTCCAGTGAAGTACCTCAAATGTGTAAAATACAGTACTTGAGCAAATGTACTTTTGAACATCCCACTGCTGTTTGTTGCTAACTTCGCACTATTTGAGATCCATGCAACATAAATGTGTTTTGTTTCCACAAATCCTATGAATGCACATTTTAGATATCAGTCTTTTTGTTGAGCTTTTCTTAATTCACCACTAAACTATAGTAAAAGAGAGTCACAGCTTCCCTCTGTTATGATAATAAACTGCTGTAGTGTATACTGGTTGTGGATTGAGTGATGAACTGGTTTACCCTCATTATCCCATCACTGATTCCTGAGAGCGTTATTACAAAACTCCATCTGCCTTTAGAAACTTTTTCAAACAATCTATTTAGAAAAGTAACACAACATTCTGTAATCACACTCCCCGGAGAGCTGTGCACTGTCCTCAGAGCTCTCAGAGGGCACTCATAACCTGGCAACCCTTTCTTGTTGTGTCTTACACTTTGCCTCTGTAGCTTGTTTGTAATTACTGGACTCACAGACGATGACTTATTCCACTGTAGCAGTCACTGTGAGGCGCGGTGGATAAAGGCATGAACATAGCAGTAAACTGCAAGAATGGCCTTTGTGCTGCCAGGCTTTAGCGTGCCCTCTCTACTTGTTTCTCCTAAACCTTTTACAGTTGCACCAGAAACAAAAACAAACATCCCCTCTGTTCTCCGGGGCTGCCTGCGTTTCATTGCTCTCATTGTTTGTCTGGATGGATGTTCTTCACTAACAGTCTTAGCTGTCATGCCAGCGTGTTGCTGGGGCACACATCCATGCAGCCTAGCAGCGCTGTGCCTTTATTTGGGGCTGTCATCTTGTGCTTATTGCCGGTAGTTATATAAGAAGCCACCATATTAGGAGCCAACATGATGCTCAATAGTGACGTTTGCTCCAGGGACTGGCTGGAATTGAAATGTAACAACTGATGCTTCATTTTGGGTGCCAGTGATTATGAGTTGCATCATTAAAACACCATTATGGCCTGTGTGTTTTGGAATAAAAGAACTGTGTCGCTTGTAATATTTGTTCATTGTTAGTCTCGTGGGTATGACTGATTTCCTCATATGAATATTTATTTGCAGAAGAAACATTTTGCTCCTATGAAGCTAATGTGTGGTTCAAAATAACAGCTCTGGAGAGCAACAGTGACGTGGTGTATTGTTCTTATGCAACGCAGCTAAATGAGTGTTTCTCAGGAATATATGGAAAAAGGAAAATGGTCCAAAACATGACGTGATTTATAATCCAAAGCCTATTTTTGAACCAGAAAGTCATATCACGCTTACAGTTGGCTAAAAACTGCTGAACATATGTTCAGCGTGTGTGTTACACACTTGGCCTTCACCCCTCTGAGGGATAACCGGAAGTCAGGATATCCCCCTCACACCCATGAGAGCATCCCCTTGTTCTGCCCACGCAGCTCCACAGGTCATCAGGCAGTTCTGGACCGGACTGACCACTACCGGCCCGCCGCCCGTAGCCGCTGCTTTCATTACTACAGACAGCGAGTGGTCCTGGAGGACAGTACAGTTTAAAGTGGAGCTGCCATCTGTTCCTCCACCAGTGCCAGGACGGTGAGTGACTCACATAACATGCGTGTTGATGTCAGTAAAGAAGCTAAAAACTGCACTGCCAATCTGAACGTGCCTGACAGAGATGTTACCACACCAGGGTTACTTTTTTGTTTTTCAAATTTAATATCAGGTAAGAGATTTCTACCTTCTGAAAGAGGCTTTCCAATGACCTCACTTGCACCTACAGTGCCTATCATTTTAATGTTTGTCTGGAAAGAACAAGCTCAGGGATAAGTGTAACACAATGGCTGGTTTCTCTCATTCTTGTTCCTCTGCCAGATGTGACCCAGCCACACAAACACTTATTAGATATTAGACGCAGTCAGGTGAGCTTGTTTTCATGATCGGATTTAACCTAACTAACCTTCTTAATGCCCTACAAATGATGCCTGTCCTCATTCGTAAGACGGTAATACACAGCACAATGAGGAGAAACAGGTCACTGCCTGCATTCGTAAACTAATCACAGCTTTATCTGATGAAGGTGAACCTCACTGCGGTTTTATTATCTGCTTACTAAAGCGCAGAAGTGACAAGATAAATCTGAAGGGATTACAACCCATTTAGGATGTGTAGTCAGCAATTATCACCAAATTCTGACCTTAGTGAGAACATTATTAAATATCACACATTCCTGGCATGCTGTGATATTGAAGTATGATTTGAAAAACACACCAAAATCACACTGCACACAAGACAAGCAAACAGTTTGTTACAAATTGAAAACCTGTATTGTGCAGACAATAAATAGTGCTTACAAAGGGATTTTTGTCTTCTACACAGACAAGGTTTCTGTTTACACTGTTGATATGAAACACCATCGACTGAATCAATGAGACTCAGACACAGCTCGGGGGTGTGACTACTGATACTGGAGTGGGACTGGTCGACTCGGTCACATGCACATCTCCCCCATGTGGCATCAAAAAGGACGTTGCTCAAAACAGTCTGTTTACGAAAAAAAGTCTCTGCTTGTCTATGGCGAACACATGACCTCCATTCTTCCTGCTCCTCCGACAAGGTGAAGTGAGGGTTAAGGTCATGTTCCTCTGAGCAGAAGTGGAGCTCGCCGCATGCGTCCCCGTCCACCGGCGGCTCCATTTCTAGAGACATAGCCTCCAAGGTTCGCTGGACAAAAACACCAGGACGCCCACTGACTGTGGGCCAGGGCACTGGAAGACTCCGTGCAAGGTCTTCACTGACAGAACCAGATATCAGCAACTCTTCACAGAAGAAACCTTGCTAAGGCCGGTGGAACCTGCAAAGGGGGAAAGAGGGGAAAAGTGTGAGCGTGGGCTGAAATATTCACATAGGGTTTCATCAATCATGAGTCCTATTATTAGCCCAATGGACAGTGCTCTTAAAAGCAGCCAATGGCCTCTCCTCAAAAATGGGGTCTTGCGTAAGCACCACCCTGGCTAATTCAGGATATTTTTTATAGCTACAGACAGTCTTGACATAAGCAAAACGTAAGCTAAATATATGCGAACATCTATTATAGTGGAGAGGTGGTGCAAAAGGGTGCAACTTTCTCATCTCAGGGGGCCTGCTTGCAGCTAAATTTAAGCCTTACTCTGCAGGGTGTGCACTCATTGATGTGAAATTGTCGGATAATGCACCTTTGAATCTTTGAGTCGCACAATGTCACACTGACCCTCTTAGACATCACCCGCTAACAATAAAGCAGGCAAAAAAAAAGAGCAAAAAGGGAGATAATAATATCACACCGACCTTGTCAGATGCTTGCTCGAAGAATGAACTTCCATCTCGTTGCTTTTGAACTCGTTCAGCTCCTTCCGTATCGCCGCCTGCGGAACAAAGGCAACAACAGGCGTAAGCCCAGGTGCGTCCCCTTCATACATCGATGCAGGCGCTCAGGTGGTGAAGCTCAAATGAGGATGTTATGAAAGCGGAGAAACATCTGCCGTTTAGGCGCCGATTATGTAAGCTTAACTGGGTTTAATCTTTCACACCCACAATCAAAGTTTGTGACAACCAGGAGGTTGTATTAGAAATGTTTATCGTGACAGGCAGGGTCTCTGCAGGGCATCCCCAAAGACATTTAAAGTCCTTTTTAATACCACAGAGAATGTAATGTGATACCTGTTTCATGATCATTGCAGCACATTTATGATGAAAACCCAGAGGGGTAAATATACCCTAGGATTATTTATTACTATATCACATATTTTCACTACTCCTAAATTGCATATGACAATAATTCCTAATGATATATTCAATTCAATTAATGCAACCTGTACTTGGATAAGTGGCATAACATGAATGGATGGATTAACCAATGAAGAATTACTCTTATTCTTATCCAATGTGGCTTCAGATGCCTATTATGAGACTATGAGTGTCGTAGCTGCTGCAGCAACAGTAGTGGCAGTTGCTATAGGTGAGATGGTGCTGACTGAAAAAGGAGTAAACAGCCTCCTGCAGCACAGTGTGTAACAGCCCACAATCTAAAAACAGTTTAGACTTTTGCCAAGGTACTTTCTAAGGCCTTTATGAGGAAACTGAATTCAATACTTTTTAAGACTTTTAAAGACCTGCAGAAACCCTGGAGAGAGGCTGACGCAGAATGTGGCCACTGAATCAAATTCTTGCACCATTTTAATATATAAAAGTGTTGCTGATCCTTCCTAAAAACCGGGGATGGATTTTTTTAAGCTACCTTGTCAGCAGCTGACAGTCTGGTCCAGGGCTTGTCAGCTCTCCTGTCGTAGTCCTGAGCTTTGGCCACTTCCACATAGTCACTGAAACGAATGAGGATCTTTCTGTCCCGCAGCTCGTCCACTGTCGGCCGCTGGTTCAGCTGGAAAACATACAAATAAATGTCAGCTCATCAGCTTATCAATGCATTCAATCAGCAAAGAGCTTGGTGATAAAAGGTAAATATTAATAAAAAACAGCAGCAGGTTGGGTATTAAGGTTCTGTTGTGGCTGGTCCACGTGAGGGACTCCCAGTCAAATGTGGGATTAAATGGATGAAATTCAAAGAAACAGCTCGGATCAGTGTAGCTGCCTACCTTTCTGTTCAGCCGCTGTTTGATTTCCCTCCTCTCCTCCTGTTCCGTCTGGTCATTTCTTTCTGTTGACACAAAAAAAAAGACAAATATTATAACCAAAAAGCAAGTCCAAATCATTCACTTGCATGTATTAACTGGGTAAATACACTGTCACTGTTTGTATCATGGCACTGGACAGTTGATTAAGTCTGTGATTAACAGAGCTAATATCTCTTATCCCCCTCACAATCAATACTCCTAAGTGAGCCGGGTCTGCAACTGTGCTGAGGACAGGACTTCAGCAGTGGATCAGTGCTGAATGTGACACGAGCAGATTAGAGCACTAATGGGATTTCTCTTTATTAGATGCAGCAGAGAGATCACTAGATGTCACTTCATTTATTTTTAATCTCCTTCTTTCATTCCAAACAAATTTTGAGGTATTTGGCAATGAGGCGGGCACGTGTCACAGTCCGAGTATATTTCACAGGAAGGCATGACTCAACTGTTTGCATATTTCCAGAAGGCTTTCAGTTTGTGGTTGGGAGAGTGGGTGAATGAATGTGTTGTGGTTCAGGGTAAGTGTTTAGCTTGAACACATGTTGCTGTGCAGAGAGAGACGGGGTCAGTGATGAAACAGGCAGCTGCTCAGGGATCACAGGTGGCCCGTCTCAGCTGGGAGACACAGTTCACTACGAATGCGGGACTTTATCCCCCACGCGGCTGTTTTATAATTGTTCTGTATTGTGGGGACAGCTCGGCTAGTTTCACAGTTTTGAAGTGCTACGATCTGACACCTTCTCCCTGCAGACGAGGAGCTATTATTCTTCTGAATAAAACAGTGTTGTCGCTTCAATGAGGATTCAAATATGAGCCCAGATCCACAGATAAAAGAGGGCACTACAGTCAACTAACTGCTCAGTAGGACCCCTATAGAAATAATAGTGGAGTATTACATTGATTTTAGGGATTTGTGGGCGGGGGTCTATCATTGTCCATGATGTCTATATTTGAATATTCTTCTGCAAATATATGTATATATAAAGATATGCAAAAAATATATTTTTATTGCTACCGGACGTGTGGAAATAGTATCGATTCCAAAATACAGAACAGGGAGATAAGGTCCTGTCTGTAATACAATAAATATATGTTTATCGGCCGATTATTTTCTCACTTGATTCATAAGGTCAAAAAATACAAATTATAAGTCCATCAAAAATGCCCAAAGCCAAAATAACATCTCCAATTCACTTGTATTGTCTAAACAACAGTGCAAAAGCCAAAGATATTCCATAATAATAATATAAAACTGAAAAAAGAAGGAAATCGTCACATTTGAGATGATGTAAACAGAGTTTTTGTTTGAAAAATGACTCAGTTATATATTAAATTGTTGACAATTTCCTGTCATCCACTGGTTCATAATTAGACTTATTATTTCAGCTGTAAAAATACTAAAAAACAACACATATTATAATAATCACAATTTGAAATAACATTTTTGTTTTGTCTTATTTTGAAATACCCAGTCTCAGTCTATAATCACTTTATTAAAAAGTCAACTTTAAACGTTTTTTTAATGCAGACTGAAACAATAAAGTCAACATAGCCTTAACCACGGCTGATAGGATGACTGATACAGTCGAAATACATTTTGGATTTTAACTTTTTTTCCTTCAAATTAAAAGTATATCTAAACCCACAGTCCCACAGTGAGATCTATTTAAATGTGTCACAGACAGAAAATAGCGCTGGTTTGCTCAGTTTGGGGCGTTTGGAGCTATAAACCGGTATCGATGGATGAACTACTCACGCTTTAAGATGTTCCGACTCTCCAGCTCCTCCACGGCCGGCCTCTGGCTCAGTCTCCTGCGGAAAAACACCAGAATTACGTTCTGGACCATGTCTCCCCCCGACGCTGCTGCCCGGGGTCTCTTTCTCCAGCCCCCCTCCACAAAGTCTGTTCAGTCTTTTCACTACTACTAGCACTTTAGATGCTTGAGCCGGTGCGCAGAGCGCCAAGATCCGCACATCCAAAAAGCAAACACCGCGTCCCACCTCGAGTCCAAAAAGCGGCTTATTTTGCTATTATAACATTTAAGGCTCCACATCGGGAAAAAAGTCAGGCTGCGCGTTTAAAATCACGCGTCAGGGCCAGCTCAGTGAATGAAAAGAGGGAGACTTCCCCTCCAGGAGCAGCTCGGTTGCTGTAATGTTCCAGGAGCGCTGATGGGAAGTTTGGAGAGAGGAGCGTTGGTTGGAGTCCCGGCGGAGGTGTGGAGGATGCTGAGCGCTCTGAGCTGTTCTCTGAGTGGAGTGAGTGGTGCTGCAGCCTTTTACCACACAACACTAATGTGAAGGGGTGGGACTGAGGAGGAGATTCCCCATGCGCGCGCACGTACGCACGCACGCACGCACGCACGCACACGAACACACAACCCTGCTGCAGCAGAGGGAGCTGCTTCTGTACTGTGGTGGGACAGCTTTATCAGGAAAACACAAGTATAACCGGGCTGGTAGTCAGGGTAAACCCACCTGAACTCACTTCTTCATCGACAGCATTCTTTACAACAACGTTTCACATAAAGCAAATACAGCATCTGCATTACTGAACAACAGATTTAAAGCATCTGATGGTAGGGAGTGGAGCATCAGCAGGACAGGTAGCATAAATGTTTAATGGCTGCTCTGCACAGAGTTAGACTTTCATTTTCTGTCAGTCTTCAAAATGCTTACTTTGTCCAAAATCCGTCCAAACAGTCCCCAAACCCAAAGATATTTCATTTACAAAAGATATAACAGAGAAAAGCAAAATGTGAGTATGCAAGTGTTCTGCATTTTTGTTGATTTTTCTTTTTAACTGACGATACTTACTGATTAATCAACCTACCATTTCAGCACCATCAAGGAACTGATGATATAAATACACAGAGAGGACAGAGAGAAAATGAAAACAGAGGTACTGTTGCTGATACCAGCACTTTTGTATTTATGTGTTAATTGTACGCAGCCTGCATGTTATACAGGATAGGGGGGTTTGGCACACCCGGATTTAGCCTGTGTTAGTTCTCAGCATTCCACATTACCTGAATTTTAGGATTCCTCACATGACTTTCCAAGATAAATTTCGACCCCGCCCCCAACACACTCACTGCCACTAAATTTGCCACGCAGCTGTCAAGACAGCGCTGGATTCCAAAGACAAACCTCTTACATTTCCTTTTAGGAAATATAGGCCATATTGAGCTTAATTTTTTGATTTTTTTTCAAACTAGACTGCATTTTATCCATAAAAAAACGACAATCCTTTCCTTGATCCTTTAGTTATAAGGGTGATATGGAAAAAACTGATAGTGCTGACTTAGAATGGCACATGTACACTGAAGGTTGAAGTCCATGGGCCAGGTGGGAAAATATGAGCACGCAAAATAATGCTAAACCCCATAATTAGACTCTTGACTATTCTGCCTTATAAAGACAAAATGCAGCCATTATATATTTAATCACAAGACCTGAATTAGACTTTTTGATCCATTTTAATATACAAATATATATATTTTGGCCAAGAAATTCTGTGGAAACCTCTTTTTTAGTTTGCAGTAAATGCTCTGATTGTGCGATACTATGCTGCATCGCCACAACAATTCAATTCAGTTTTATTTGTATAGCGCCAATTCATAACAGAAGTTATCTCAGGACACTTTTCAAATAGAGCAGGTCTAGACCGAACTCCTTATAACATTATGAGGGGGAAGGGGGGTGGCTTCATAATGAAGAAAGAAGCCCCCAGCCAAACTAATGCTAAAGCTAATTAGCTTAGCAGATCTTAGTAGCGGCCATCATAGCTTTTGATTCTAGTATAATTAGCAAAACAGAGATACATTTCATTCAGCTCTGCACTATAAATAATTCAAATAAAGCTAAATTCCTTAAACAAACTATTAAAATGAACAAGAAAGCCAAAAGAACACATGTTGTTGGTATACTGATGTTCCTCAAAGCCTTTCCTCACAATAATCCAAAGACAGAGTGTTGTATAAGCAGTTTTTAGTTAGAGTGTAGGTTACACAATGATTTTTGGGGTTAAAATAATCACCTTAAAAAGGCATGAGATGAAGGCATCACAACCTGTCTTTCTGTTATGCAGTTCGCCAGCCAGCCTGAAATTAAACTCTTGTTTTTCTCAACTATTGCTTTTTAGGTCAGAATTAATCACAAACTGTCCAGCTGCCCAAAGAAAAGAAAAAAAGTAGCTTTATTGGGCAGCCCCCCAGATGTAACCACGTTTACACTAATGTGATGCAAAGTGCTGCTGATCACAGCATAAGAGCACAGAACAACCCTTCCCTGAATAACAGAGCTTAAATAAAGATAATCAGTCACGACTCACTTGAGAAAACGGTGCAAGCTTGTAATAAAATCCACTTTTATAATCATCCAGAAAAGGGTCAGACCACAACGTATTCACACTCTAAGTGTTGTGAGATGGAACTATGATTCACACCAGCGGCAGGGACAATGTACAGAAGACTTGGTGAGCAGAAAATTAGATCAGATGTTGTTCTGACCAGCACAGGAGCTTAAAGTGCTGACCAAAAAGGGACATTACATTTACTGGGAACACAGTGTCTTTTTCGGAGCAGGACAACCCCCGCATCCTGCAAATTATTGAGGTGGACAGTCTTTTAGTCTGGTTTCACAGCACGGCAAGCTAGCATCATCTTTAAATTGTCACAATGATCTCTGAAGTACTTGCTGTCCCCTGCAACTGCTCTTTAAGTATAGTTAGAATAACATTGACAGGGATTCTGTCATCTATGCTTAAGAATGAATTTGATACTGTAGGCTTTATATTTAAATATAATATTTTAAACCGCAAAAACTTTTCACTTTCTTTTTTTTTACTACTTTCTATGTGTTACTAAAACTAGGCATTGACACTACTGCACAACTATGCATTTACCTTACCAACAGAACAGAATGCTGATATTGGACAATGCAACAAAACCTTGGATAATGTTCAGTGACTTTTGTTAAATGTCCAATGCCAACGCTGAGGTATGGTTAGGTTAGACAACTACAAGGTTAAGATTGTGGCTATGGTTAATAAAAACACGAATGTTCAAGCTTTCCTGCAGGTTTCTTGAAAACAAAGTTTCTGTTTACATCTAATGTTTCTAACCAAACCCACTGTGTGTCCTTGACATCTAACACCTGTTTAATGCATTTTTTTCTTTCTAAAACATTTACAAAGCTGATTTTTTTAAATATCTGGAATGGAGATTTATTTGTACTGTGCATGCTTGTATTCATGCACAATTAGGGATGGGACGATATTATTGCGTATCGTCATTATAAAAACACTAAATTACCATTATTGTGATAATCCTGTGAATATCCTCACACGGCTTGACTTTAAAAAGCTGTCTAGCTCTCCAGCATACAGTCCTATATTCATTTCCTGATTTATTTAGAGCAAGTGGACAATGGGGATCTCACATCTTTCCAGTCATTCCAGTATCCTAAACCTGTCACCAAGGCTGAAGGATCGGCTTTCCCGGCTTCAAACCGGACGTGTGGAAATAGTATCGATTCTAAAATACAGAACAGGGAGATAAGGTCCTGTCTGTAATACAATAAATATATGTGTTTCTTAACTAAATGTAAGATAAACTGATTCCAGTATGCTTTAGTGCCATTTTAACTGTATGAAGTTTATTTTCATGATTATCGTGAAAATATTGTGCATTGCAATTATTCTGGCCAAGACAATTGTCACATGAATTTTTCACATCATGCCTGTGCACAATACAAACAAAAGTGGGTGAAAGAGTGAAACAGATTGTGACTGTAAAAAAGGATTTTGGCTGTGCGTGTGAGTTCTGACATTTAGACTGAGAAAATAAAGGGATTGCATGGTAACAAATCTCTCTCTGTTATTAGCAAAGAGCATTGTACAAAACATTCAGGCAACAGCTTAATGTCTCTTCTCAACATTGCTGGCGACAGGTCACATTAATTCAGTAAGTAACTTGACAGGCCAAAATGAAACTAGTCTGTTTTTAAGTTATACTAGAGCCGCACAACTAATGGAAATATTATTGAAATCGCAATATGGTTAAGTGCAACATGCAAATCACAAGAGGTGCAGTGTTTTGATGGATATAAAATGTGACAAAACAGCATTATAATGAAGTACTGTAATCTTGTTCTACAAATTTAAGGTGTTTTATGTCTCCCCAAAAAAGTCACAAATTAAACATTTTCAGGATTTTTATAATTTTTAGTGAAAATAATTTGAATTTTAGTTCAAATAAAATTTGTAATGCAAAAATGATGATTCCCACACTAATGGTGAATAATATTCCAATATAAAAAAATAAATAAAATTATGTTTTTACCATATGCAGCCTTAAGCTATACTATTTAAACTGCACAGGTCCTGAGCGGTAAGAGTGTCTCATCTGCTCTGTATATATTTATTTTTATAATGCATACTGAGCATCGTTGGCACAAAAATTCCTTCCATTCCATCTTGTCTCATTTTTGGGTTGGATTTTGAGTGTGTAATAAGCAACTGTGTCTTTTAGGCACATATCAGGTAGTTGGTATCAGCAGATACTCAATATTAAAGGACTTGGATGGCCAAGAAAACTTGATTAGGACATAGTAGTAGTTCCACAGGGGACTTAATTGCAGGTCTGTTACAGAGGTGTAGTCTGGTCTCCTGCATGGCAGTCAGAACATTGGCACTGGACATCATTAGGTGCAGAATTGTCTGAATACTAACATTATTCCTAGAAATAATGGACTTACCATTTTAAAGCCTTCTGTAACACTGTTCTGACGAGATGATGCATTATTCTGACATAATAACCCAATTTGCAAATGACTTCAAATCAGTTCAGCTCAGACTATGTCAAAGACAAAATTATGGAAAACCTTTCATAAGTGGCAGCATTTTGTCCACAGCCCTGAGAATAATGCCAGGGCGGATGGCACATCCCTAAAATAAGCCTCCTGCCCTGTGACAGCTTCAGCTGTAACTGGGACCACTGAGGGCTTATAAAACAGGACCACAGACTTGGCAATATTGGAAGCTGAGGAGAGTCGATGTGCTAAATGGAGCAGAGCTATAGTAGGATGTGTGGTCTGCAGTGGAAAACATTTCAGGTCAATAGCATTTGCCTCAGTTCACACAGTGAATCAAATCTGATTTGGCCTGCTTCTCACCCCAAAAAGATGTATCAGATGTATTTTACATTCAAACATTGATTTAAGTGCTGTGGATTTAACGCAAACTTCAAACACCATAAAAGCCAGAGTGAGTCAGCCTGTTTCTATTTTGCCAAACAAACCTATTGGGCCTTTAGTCAGAGCCTCCTGCAGCGATGTGCGCTTCACAAGTACTCACCCACTCTTCTTGGTCAGAGGTAAAAGTTCCTCGTTTGTTGGAGAACACACCAGCATGTCAAAGCAATGAGCTGCCTGTAAGAGCAGGGGCTGATGGGAATGTCAGCCCATGAAAAACTGGAGGAGAATGGGATGAGTCAGGCGCCACGGGCCGGGCGGCGGCCTGCTACTGCCTGCTACTGCCCACTGAGGTGTGTCCTAATCTCTCGCTCCTTCCCCTCTATGACAGAGCCCGAGGACAGCAGTGCCACGGTCGGATGTGGAGTCTGAGTGAGCCCAGGACGGCCCGGGGGACGAGGGGGGCAATTGGGGGGTAGTTGCCAGAGATAATTAAAGAAAACCTCTTTAATGGTAGCCTACCAGAAGCTTGGCATTTATGTAACTTGGTTGTGGTTCAGGACTTGGATGTATTTAAGTGCTGACCTGGATGTCTCCCACTGTTACTAGGTCACATGAATATGAAAGACTGTGGCTATGAGCTCTCTGCTGCTTCGAAATATACACGGAGATATAGAGTTATGAAAACGCTAAGTACTGTAAATCACTCAAGAGCTTTCCAACTACCTTTTAAAACTCCCTCTGTTCAAAGGCTCGCTGTGCTATTGATGATAGATGAAGGGGACACATTCAAAGACTCAGACATGAAACCAAGAATCAATTCTTTATCTAGCCAGTTGTTTGTCTCTGAGGCTTTGCCCTTTACCACAGGTCCACAGATCAAGTGGGGATCATGTCTGGCTCTCAAACAACCCGCTGGGAGCACAGTGTGGAGGAGGTGACTTCAAATAACATGGTCCTGGCTTGGAAAACTATAGGTAACATAAGCTATAAACTTTCACACTAAACAAACTTCAGGTGGCTCTGTGAGCTAAAGCACATATCCATCATCCAAAAATACAAAACAAAGACAAAAGAACAAGACTTAGTGTCTGCAGTCATGCTAGCAGGGTCTATGAGGCTATATTAGGGCACTGTGGTGCTAACATGCCCACAATAATAATGCTAACATGTTGCTGATGTTGAGAAAGTATAGTGTTAAGAAAGTTAGCATGCTTAGGCTGATGGGAATGTCATAGGCAAAAAGCAATTAAAATGCATCCTAAGTGGAACATGAATAGCTGCACCAAATTGCATGGCGATCCATCAGATAGTTGTGGAGATATTTCACTCAGAACCACAAATGTGAATGTCATGGTGACGTTAGAGGAAAAGAGGGATCACCAAAATCATCAGGATTCAACGTGTGGGGACCATGAATGTCTCACTCCATGCCAATCCATCTTGCAAGCTATCAAATAGTTAATAGATATTCCACCAAAAGACAAAAATAACTCAGGCGGCCCATAAATGTTTGTACAAAATTAGGTTGTACAAACAGTTGTAGAGAGATTTAAGTCTAGACCAAAGGGTTGGACTGACCGATAGACGGATGGACCAACAGACCAACATTGCTAGTGCACGGCTAAGAATCTGAGTTTGACTTATTGTCCTTTCGAAGTACACTAACTTCCCTGAAACAACTAACCAAACATTGATTTCCTAAAACAATGGACATCCATTAGCCAACGTAGCAGATGTAACCTATTTAAAAATCCATTTCTGATTCTGTTTGCATAATGAAAACTCTTACTGGGAAGCCAGAATCAATGCTGGGGATGGAAAATGGCCAGACTGGAAGAACAAATGTACACCCTACTGTATCTATTTATTTATAGCTTCACAAATGTAGCAGGAGGTGACAAGCAAACAAAATTAGCAACATATGTCACAGGTCACGTCTCTGATCACTGGGGATCTAACCCTAATTTGGCACAAGGTTAGAAAGGAGAGAAAAACAACCAGTGTTCAGTGAGTGGGTGCAGAGGCTTTGAGACTTTTGACATTTCAATTAGAGGGTACTCACAGCCAGATCCCTCGAAAAAAAGCCATTGTATAACGTTAATTACTGCATGTGGGACAGGGATGGTCTATAGTGGTGACAACATGTAATTTGAGGATTTCGCTTTATGCCATATATGTTCAGGCCGTGTCATCCGGTGCTTACGTCTCTCCAACTGCTTCACAATATCTGCCAACTCCAGTCCTGTAATTGGATTGATGCCCGGCTGTGATGCTGCTCACTATAAAGGCACAAATAGCAACCGGAGAGGCCCATCCTGAGAGAAACGTTCCTCTGTGTGAAACCACAGAGACAAAAATTACACACTGTCTTCATTATTTTAACCCTCAGCTGACTACAGACGTGCAGCAATACTGAACACTGCTCTTTGTTTTAAAACAGTGAAGAAGGGACTTTAAATTTGTGTGTTTGAGTGTTGCTGCAAAATTGCACACACACACTGGCACATGAAAATGATATAACATCTAAATGATAAAATACATAGCATGAGATTCACTCAAAAACACCACATTCTCTGCAAGGCGGAGCTGTTTGCTTACTGTCAGACCACCTATCAAATAAGCTACCTACAGGAAGGGTAAAGCGAACAGCTGCAGTGGTCCAGACATACAGATGTGGACTTAATGATGTTGCCACCTACAGGTAAATACAGAGAGAGATGGAGCAACCCTAACAGCTGTACCACCTTCAGGCAATGAAAGGCTTAAAGGGAAAGAAAGAAAGAAAGAAAGAAAGAAAGAAAGAAAGAAAGAAAGAATGAAAAACTGAATTCATAAGCGATGAATGATGATGAGCACACCCTTACTCAATTTGATACACTCGGGGGTTTTGCTGCTACAGCGTTACTTACAGTAGCGCATGGTGGCTAAAGTTAGCTTTATGACTCTTTATGTCTCCCTACTTGTGCTAATGCTACACCGTGCTGTAGATTTTACCATTCTGCTGTAGTTAACACTTTTTGCTACAGTGGTCATGATAGTGATATGTTGTTATGACCATCAGCAATGGTCATAACAACATATCACTATCTTTTTACATCATGTTGCTATACCAAGTGATCGTGTCAGAAGAGAAATGTTTCTTGTTTTGACAAAGATACTTTGATTTTGTGTAATATTTTAGATTTTGTGGCGATATGACAAGATAAAGTGACCTGTGGTTCTAACGAGAAGTCTTGTTTAAACAGAATAATCTTTCCTTATAGAATCATTTTGCACATATTAACAAGGAAAATGTCATAACGAGAAAGGGGTCTTGTAATATATTGAACATTTTCAACCGAGCAATTTGTCGTATTCATTATTGTTATTTTTTGGAATGGCGGCAGCACTCTGCTTCCGTAGCTCAACAGCTTCCTTCTCTCTCCAAAGTGACCAGGGGCTCAGCCGACAGCCCCTGATACTCTCTGCACTCTTAAGCAGAAAATATGCTCCAGTTAACAAAACACTTACCTTCTGCAGGTCAAACACACAACAACAAACACGCAAACAGCATTATATAAAAGAAAAAAAACTGAAGTACAACAGTCATTGCCTGCAGGTCGGGAGAGGGTCAAAATGCAGCTAAAGGAGAATGCTCCCTCAGACCTTAATTCAATTCAATTCAGTTTTATTTGTATAGTGCCAATTCATAACAGAAGTTATCTCAGGACACTTTTCAAATAGAGCAGGTCTAGACCGAACTCCTTATAACATTATTTACAGAGACCCAACAGTACCACCATGAGCAAGACCTTGGCGACAAGGGCAAGGAAAAACTGCCTGTTAAAAGGCAGAAACCTAGGACAGATCCTTCGGCTCTAGGTGGGTGGTCATCTGTCTCGACCAAATGCTGTCGCATTACATGCTGAAGTTACTTTTCTTGCCCATAGGTGGCGCAGTTTGGGCTGCTGGGCCTAAATTCTGCATCAATTACACTGTCTATCCTATTTAATGAATTCAATGTTATGCCCCGAGTAGGCAGACTCTTTGTTGTATCAGACATGACTGTGCTCTTCACTATTGTGAAAGCAGAGCACTCAGACATTTCTGCATTTTGTGAAAGCGATCACTGAGGTTTCTTGCCCGCGGGAGGGAAAAAAACAGGGAGGGAAACCCAAGAAGAGCATGCATTAATATTTCATCTGGGGTGAAAGGGATTATGAAACTGAAAATATTCTCTGCAAGGGAGAGCAGCCAGCCACCATCTGACAGCCTTGGTTGCCTGGAAACTGCTATTGAGCTGAAGACCGTTCATAGAAATATAATTTTAAAAGGAGAGTGACTATAAAGGGGATTAAAGATCATGCCTCAACGACACGTAAGGAGACAGTTCCTTTTGAAGTCCGTGAGATGATCAGTATCAATACAGCCCCAACCTCCTTTCATTTCTACACTTTTTAGACACAATTCTTTCTTGCCTTTGTGGAGCACTCATTAGCAGAAAGAGGAAAATCTGTCTCAGCACTCAAAAGCTTTGGGATTTCTGAATGCTAATATTGCTGTCAGCTGCTGTGTGGACGGAGCAATACTGAGTTATTAATAGCGGTCGTGGAGAGCAGCTGTGGTTAGTCGCCCTGTCCTGCTTCGCACAGTGAGCTGCTGTGTCAGCAGAAATTGGTCTCTGTGCCACAAATATCCAATTATTGGTTCCTCCATGGCTCAGCGGACTGTGGCCAATACTGAGTAGGCTCCTGTCATCATCATCATCATCATTATCACTGCTGCGTGTCTTCTTTCCTCTGTCTCCCTCTTCCTTTACCATTGCTCCTGCAGCTTTCTACCATGCAACACCCCAGACTTGCTGACTGGAGTTTTACTCACACAGATATTTCACTGTTAGTTAGTCTTGTTTGTGGAGTTCCACTTTAATGAGCACGGCCAGAGAGATCTCTTGCTGCTCTCGAATTGCAAAGAACTGTAGTAGAAATGTCAATAAAACACAATTGTAGCAATGATATAAGTCTAATTCCTGAATTCATTAACATGATCTTTCATACTCTTGTTACATCACTCAGCTATGGTAGATAGCTTACATTGATAGCTTTATGCTATATGTCTAGACTGAACTTACAAGGTCAGACAAGCTAATCTGGTTAAACCCCTTTCACAAATGAAACTACCAACACAACTGGTTTCAGTTATTTCTGTTAAATAGTTGTTCCTCAACCTTTGCACTCCCATATATATAGGTATCTATATAGGGTTTCAACTGGTTAAATTTAAGACCTTGCTGAAACCATTATGAATGCAAGTTTCATGTCACGATTATTGTGGCCAAAACTGTGGTACACGATATTATCACTATAATCATGAAAAAGTACTTCACACTTTTGAAATGGCACTAAAACATACATTTTGTTAAGAAACTAAGTGCATCACAGATAGAAACCCCATCACTGTGTGTGTGTGTGTGTGTGTGTGTGTGTGTGTGTGTGTGTGTGTGTGTGTGTGTGTGTGTGTGTGTGTGTTTGTATTTCAGGCCTATTTGTGTTGCAACTTTATACAAATAACTTTAACTTCCTTAATCCAATCAATTTCTAAGACCTGGCAAAATCTTATTTAAGGCATTTTAAGACCCTGTGGACACCCTGCTATAAGCGGTTGCCATGTTTGAAAGCTCTGAAGACTACAGTTAACTGTCTAACAAGCCCTCATCAGACATGGAATAGGTAACATTTTTGGCTTGATCTATCTGTTAAAGGGGAACACCACTTATTTTACACATTTTGCACATCAAAGTCTGTTTTCAGGTCTTAGGGAGTACTACCCTTATGTGAAGAAAACTGTATAAAACACTGGAAACTCTGAACTGTTGGTGGTCACATTGCATTGAGGATAATGCAGGCGCATGGTTATGACAAAGAAGCAGAATAAATGGAATATAAAAAACGTATCTCTGGTTCCAATCCTTTTTTTAAACCGTCACAGTTGTTGCTGTTTTGAAGTGTTAAAAGTTTTAGTTAGGTCAGGTAAGTAATGTTCGCTATGGCAGTTTATTCAGACATGATGGGACAATTACAGAAAGATCCACAATGTGTGCACAATATTTGGCACCTGGTGCACGAGAGGAAGCCGAAAGCAGAGAGAAAAAAGCAGCGGTGAGTTAAAAAGTAAGAGTGTTCTTAGTTCTTTCACAGACTGCAGTAGTGACAGATTTTAAAACTTAATTTTCTATTCGTCAGTTTAATCATTTATTGCAAAGATAATTGTGCTGCCTGAAGAACTGGTCACACCTGCAGTTAAAATGACAACATTTTGTGGTGATTTCACGTCATTCCAATGGAATCACTGTGAGAATTCGCTCATGGGACGACTTAAGTCAAGTTCAAATTTAACAAACCTGAACTGTAAATTTGTGGTGTTGACGAACAGCAAGCCATGTGACAGTGCTGACCTTTGAGAGGGCGGAAAGTTTTAGTTGCTTATAGCAACCATTTTGCACCATTCACTTTTATTTATTTATGCAGCTGACATGAGGAAAGCTAAAAGTGCTTGTCTGATTATTATTGTGGTTTTGCCTCGCACCTTTTTAGAAAGTGATCTGTGACATAGCGAATGTGTTCAAAATGTTACAGACTTCTTACTTGGTCCAATCTTGTTGGACGACTGTCATAACTTTTAGGTAAAACTGACTAAGGTGCATGTAAAATTGCCAAGAAAGTGTGCTATAGGCTTCAGAATACTTGTTACATTTTGTCTTATCACCCTGTCTTTGTCAGTGGCTTTAAGTCTAAAAACTGTAGTTGGCTTCGTTCTTTTAACTTTAATTCACCCAGTTAGACTACTTTCCCCCCAGAGGAGCTCTGCCACCAAGTTAAACCTAAACCTCCGAACTGCACCGAAACGCTAACAAAGAATACCTTCAAAATATCTGCTTATCCTCTTTTTGTACTGCTGTTGCCAGCCCCAGCTCCTCTCATCTCTCACTCTCTCCCCAGCCTCTCCTGCAGGCTCACCCACAGGCCCATTACATGACAGGTCGAAGGTAACAAACAATGGATGGAATGAAGTTGCCCTTCTAAAAATAGAAGGCACGTTTCTGCAGAAAATTCAGGGGTTTGATGCTTCAGGGGTTTTTACTAAGTCATCAGATGCACAATCACTACCCTCTCACAACTCCACAGAGGATCAGGCGGGCTGCAGCAAAATCCCAGCAGTGTTTTTACAGTCTTTAAGTCTTTACAGTGACATTTTTATATAACGATGTCCTCAGCTGAGGGCATGAGCTGAGGATGCCCGCACAAAAGTATGTAACAGAGAACAGAGATGGAGATCATTGTAAACTGTGTCCAGCTCTCCAGAAGAGACCCGCAGGGCAGTGGGGACGGTTCAATCGGAGGGGAACAGGGGAAGAGAAAATGCAATCTCTCCATCAGCAGCGGGGGCCGGGGAGGAGAGAAGGCAAGCTGGGCTGTGACGTAGATAGGCAATTGATTATGGCTGCTGCTGCAGTATTTCGCCAATGAGAGCTAAATTTAGAAACAGAGGGTTCCCTTCTGCTATCCTGGGCCAGCCCACTGCTCTGCATTCTACTGCAGAGTGCAGCTGTAAGTGCTGAACATCAATGCAACATACCATGTGCTGTTCCATAAACATTAGTGGACGGGTTGAATCACAGCACAAATGAAAAGAGCACTGCATAATGAAGTTTTGTGAGAACCATCTGAGGATTAAAATTATCATTTTATAAAGTTATGGTTACAATGTGGAACACAGTGTTTGTACCCAAGAATGTCACTGCAGTGCAGCAATGCAGAAATGTACACTTACTGAGGCTCTGGAGGAGAGAAATTATGATAATGGTGTTTATAAAGAGATGTATAACGTAATAATGTAATGTATGTAAAGGATTTCACTTTTTAAGCACATTTCCCGAGAAATATGTCCAACTGATACTGTAGAACATTTTATATTTTGAAAAAAGTCATCAAATACTTTTAATAATAGAAGTTATAATTCACAAAATTAATTTTTTTCTGTTCTTGCTCTAATCTAGCTGCTTTAAAAACTACCTTTAAGTCCACCTCCACTCAAAAATCTCCTTCTCTTCTTGTCCGTACAGTCACTGCAGAATGATGTATGTGCAGAATTTGACACTAGAAGGATGTTTTCACATTCATCTGCTGAAAGTAGAAAGTTTCTCTGTGCTCATTGGAAATCTGATTTTAAGGGACGGGACTTTTCGACATCACAAATAGTCTGGAAGTCAGTCCTGGTCCAGTATGCAACTTGTACAGTGTGATGTAGAAACCCCAGTGCACATCCACTGAGAATGGACTTATTCATAGATCCTGACATTTTTGACGAGTGAGAAAAAGTAGATGACTTCTTAAGGATTTTAATGTGAAAATTATACTATATACTTACTCCAAGCAGAGTATTTGTATATGTCGTAAAACATGTCTAGAGGGGATCTATTGTATATGGACAGTAAACAAGCCTCTACTTCATGAATTCAATTTTAAATCGACATTAAATCCTCATATTTCAATCTCATTCCAAAAGGCTCGCAGAGAAAGGACCGACCATGAACCGCTGAAGGCTGAGTAATTTGCCTCCTTTCATTATCACCTGATGATGACTGCACAGGGTAACCCAGATGAATGCCTCTGCATTACGTTGCCTTGCATGTTTGCTGCTCTGCAAAAGAAATGAAGGCGAAAACTGATTGTTCTCTGTCCGAGATGGAGGCTGTTCTGTTCCTGATGTTGTACAAACAGCTGCGCCACACAAGGCCCTCCACAGCACTTAAAAACTGCCACGAGTACTTCAGACAGGACACAGCGTGCTAGCCACCTCCACAAATAATGCTCTGTTCCAATCAGCACGACTCATTCAATGCGACAGATTCAGTATGATTCATTCAGTGTGTACACAATCACTGGTGCTGGATGGATGTTTACAGAGCAGAGTTTAGAGAGGGTCCCTTCAGCTTTTGTTGTTGCTGTGCGGAGCTGCCAGGAGGGGCTCGTCATGTCCTCTGGCAGACCATGTGGTCAGCAGGACAGAGACGCTGGCAGACGAACACACGGTGCCGTCACCCCCGAACAATGGGGCATCTCAGCTGTCCGCAGCTCTGAGTCAGTTCATGTGAACGACTCTTGTTAACCAGCCAGTCCTGCCGTCAGTCACAGTCAGAGCCGAGAGCACTGCAGCACCTGAGAGAGCGGAGCCGGGCTGCAGC